CATGAGGACCTGAGTTCTAATCGTCAATACCCACGTAAAAAGCCAGAAGCAGCTGTGCAGTCCTGGAACCCGAGTGTTGAGGTAGGGTTGAAGGTATCCATGGGGCCTGCTGGCCAGTGCTAGCCTAGCTGAAGCACAGCGAGCTCCAAGTTCAGCAAGACAATGTTTCAAGGAAACACAACGGAGAGTGATAGAGCAGAGTACTGGGTGTCCTTCACTGGCCTCTGTGCACTCGCACAAGGGACATACATAAGCATGCACAAGCTCAGATACCACACATATATACCATGTATGTGTAGATATATATTTGACATAGTATGTCAAAGTAAGACTTTCATGCAATAAAACCTAAGGTAAGATCTGTCAAAAGTATTTCAGAGATTGTCTAAATGAGAACAAATACTAAACAGACTTTCTCTACTGACCTGTGTTTCTTCTGCTTCGTTATCACTGTCTGCCTGGGAACATGTTGGCTGATCTTCCCTAAGAAAACATAAAGCAAAAATTAAGTGAGAAAAATACCTTGGTGCCATGAAGACATAATTTCAAATGTACTGAATTTTATAAATAAATAAATGCAAAATGGTTTTACTACTGGAGAGTAATATAAAGAAATGTTCAGGCCAGACAGTGGTGGCGCATGCCTTTAATCCCAGCACTCTGAGCTGGCAGAGCAAGGCGGATCTCTGTGAGTTCAAGGCCAGCCTGGACTGCAATAGTGAGTTCCAGAACAGGCTCCAAAGCTACAGAGAAACCCTGTCTCAAAAAACCAAAAAAACAAAAAAAAAAAGAAAGAAAGAAAGAAAGAAAGAAATGTTCACTTTTTGAAACATAAATAAAATATGGAATTTAAAATTAATATGGAATTTAAATAAATAAATGTCAGGCGGTGGTAGTGCATGCCTTTAATCCCAGCACTCAGGAGGCAGAGGCAGGTGGATCTCTGAGTTTGAGGCCAGCCTGGTCTACAGAGCAAACTCCAAGACAGCCAGAGCTACACAGAGAAATCCTCTCTAAAAAAACAAACAAAAACAAAAAAAGAAAGAAAGAGGGGGCTGGAGAGATGGCTCAGCTGTTAAGAATACTGACAGCTCTTCCAGAGGACCTGGGTTCAAGTCCCAGACAGTTCACAACTGTCTGTAATTCCAGTTCCAGGGAATCCGACAAGCTCACACTGACATACATGCAGAAAAAACAACAATGGATATAAAATAGGAATAAATAAATAATTAATAATTTTAAAAACAGGAAAAAAAGGGGAGAGGCAATGATGCCAAGAAGCCAGAAATAAAATCCAGAAAGCTACACTAGCAATCCAGCAGGCAAGAATGAGGCTAACCTGCACACACAATAAACTGCTGGCTAGTGTGGGAATATGACAAAACGTCTGAAAACAACAAACAAGGGGGCTGAAGAGGTAGCTCAGAAGCAAAAGCTCTTGCTGCACAACCCCGAGGACCTAAACATAAATCTCAAGGACCTGCTTCCTTGTTTCTTTATTTATTTTGAGAAAGGCTTTACTATGTGGTAGATTGGCCTGGAAATTGGTGGGTAGACCAGACTGACCTTGAGTTCACAGAGATCCATCTGCTTCTGCCTCCTGAATGAAGAGGATGGTGTGCCTAGGCTAATCTACTCACCCATGCAAAACCGTTGATTTAATCAGTACACTGGCTCTTTATGATTATAAAGGATTGTTTTCTGATATGCTTTACCTTCCTGAAACCACCAGAGTCCCGTCGTCGAGTAGATAGTCTTTCACATTCTGAGGAAGTGGGAGGATGACACTGGAAGAAATAAAACATGTCCTTTAGAAGGACTAGTCACAGTGGAGATGCAGACAGATTTTCTGGGGGACCGCCAGCTCATAAAAAACCCATATGGAGACTTATTAAGTATGAAAGCTTGGCCTACAGCTTAGGCTTGTTTCTTTTTATATTCTTTTCTTTCTTTCTTCATTTATGTTTTTGTTTTTTGAGACAAGGTTTCTTTGTGTAGCCTTCGATGTCCTAGAACTAACTCTGCTGACCAGGTTGGCCTGAAACTCCCAGAGATCCGCCTGTCTCTGCGTCCCAAGCGCTCCACCACCACCAGGTTTAGGCTTGGTTCTAACTAGTTCTCATAACTCACATGAACCCATTTCTACTCATCTATGAGCTGCTACATAGCTCATGGCTTTTACCTCTCCTCCTGCAAGTCCTGTTCCCTGGGCTTCTGACGGGTGACTCCTCCTTTCTTTTTCCCCAAGCTCTCTCTGTCCAAAAGTCCTGCCGAACCTCTTCCTGCCTAGTTATTGGCCATTTAGCTCTTTGTTAAACCAATTGGAAGGTGTCTAGGCAAAGACATATCTTTGTACAAAAAGATTATTCCACAACAGAGAGAAAAGATCCCACACAAGTCATTTTATAACCATTTGTGGAAATAAAAACATATTTAGATCATTTTAACATGAAACATAGCAAAAACCAGGAGCTAATATAATATGAATAGTGACTGCAGTTCATATAATTACCACAGTAGTTCTTACAATGAAATAAGAAAACAAAATACCACCCAAATCCTGAGAAATGAACAGAAATCACACTGGCCAGAGCGCTGAGAAAGAGTGTAGAACAGCCATCTCTAACAGGAACATCTATATCACCCTCACTCCCGAGGCTCGGGGGACACTGCTGAAGAGCTGGTAGGAATCTGTAAGCGAGGCTGGAAGGAGCACGATGACATGCTGTTTTCTGCACAGTACGTGGCACCACGCTCATGAACTCCCAGTAGCCGTGGTAACCAGCAAAAGAGCAAGATAGACAAAATCCCAGCAGGCCTCACTCCCAGCTGAGAGCTATTGACAACTGATGGTTGCTGTGGGAAAAAGAGTCATTTTTCTTAGGTGATGTGGATACTGGAAGATTGCCCAAACTCCAGTGGATGGCCTTACTCCGTGCACATACAGGCATCACTAACTAAACTGAGAAAGATAGTAGGGAAAAAAAAGCAGGGTAGGAAGTTGGGAGATGCACTGTTTCTTAGACCCGAAGATGGGCAAGGGGGAAATGGCAAGACTAGGATCAAAATACCTGTGTACATGTAGGAAATTCTCAAAGAATAAATAAAAACTATTTTTAAAAAGGAATTTGCATAATCTTCTCTGAATCAAAACTCATAAACATTAAATACCAATGCTAAGCCAATAGGCAGTATGTGTATTTTCAGCTCTGAAGTAGACAATGTCTGCCATATGCCGTCACCTGATCTGTCTGGATTGTGGAAGGGCTGTCCTGTTAGGTGCTAGTGATATCACCGCTGGGTTAAACAGACCAAGGAAAGGGTTTAAAGCAGAATAAATGCTTTTAGGCTGCTAAACGACAGCTTAGTGGATAAGGCACCTGCCATCAAGACTGATGACTTGAGTTTCAAGCCCTAGGACTCACATGGTGGAAGGTGGAAACAGACTCCTGCAAGCTGTCCTGGAACCTCCACATGCCCAACATGCGCACGTGCGCACACGTACACACACAGAGACACACACAGAGGCAGACACACACACTAACTAAACGAACATTTTAAAGGTGGTTTCAGGCAGCACGGCTTAGGCATAGACTGTCTAGAGACGCCAGACAATCCCACTCACCAGCTTATTTCCACTGACGTCTTCACATACATGGCATACATTTTAAGTGAATTAAAATAATTTGCTCAATGGGAGCTTATTCAATTCAAAAGGAAACAAGCAATGTTTTGTGTGTGTTTATTATGTACTAGAAGGAGTATCAGCACTTTAAATATGTGACATTCATAACAAACCTACCACTTTCTGTGTTTTCCAAAGGAGGGCTAGGGAGATTAAGAAATCTGCTGAAAATGCTGCTAGAACCAGAATTCAAAGGCACACACACACACACACACACACACTACCTATCCCTGTTAGTGAATGAAAGCCTTATCTGCATCTTTCAGATTTAAAGATTGCTTTTGAATGCTGGAGATGGTCTCTTAGCTGCCTTGCATTTGAATGATAAGAGAACAGATTCACCAGAGGCATTGTGCAAACCTGCGTAGACTCCTTGTTCTAGGCCAGGGAACTAGAGAACAAGTATGACTCCACTCTTTTTCCAGCTGGATTGCTGCTTCTTAAACACTGGACCATCAGCAGCAACGTAACCACCTAAGGTTTCCTATACACGACCGCACTGGAGCTTCCCAACAGACTTGCAGGTCGGGTCATTAACACTGCCCTCATTTTACATTGAAGGAACTTCAACTGTCACCAGACGGGTTAGTCAACAGCAAAGCGCACTACCCAATTTGGTTTGGTTTTGTTTATCGCCTGGCACTTCTGGCAATTCCAAAAGTATCTATCTCGATTTAATTTGCCTATGACCCTCACCGCTTTCCTAGCTCTCTCGACACGCGCCTTGACTCGCGTCAGGAAACACGGCAAATGTCTGATCTACTTTGTTAATCCTGTCACCTCAAACCTCAGGGAGTCGACAGCTCCACACCTTCGCTCCCACTGAGTCGTTAGAAGGCCTGCCTTTTTGTTTAGTTTTCTGGAGGAGAAGGGATTTGCCCAAACATCGCAGCTCGCCTCTGGGCATCTTACCTCTTGATGGTAAGGCTTCGGAAGAGGGGGGTACCAGGCGGAGAACTGACAGTGACTAACATGCTCCTTCTTCATCCTCCACCTGCCGCGTCCACCGCTGCCTTTCTCCTCTCCCGCCAGCACTCTCCCGGAACCCGGCCTGTCACTTCCGGAAGTGCCCACCAAGCTATTTTGATGGAAGGACTCTTCCGGTCCGTTAAAAGTCAGGAGGCGCTAGAAGCTAAAGTAATGGTGGAGGGTACGTTTAGCATGCCCGCACAGACTCGCGAGACACAAAAAGACTTTGAGTCCGGGAGAGAAGCATCATGAAAAGTATAGACTTTTAGGAAGCTTACAACTCCTCTATCGTCTGTAGACACCTCGACCCGGAAGGTAATCATCTGAAGCTAGCAGAGTTTCTACGGGTGCTGGGAGGAGGACGTGTGCACAATCCTCCTTGCACCACGAGAGGCGCCGGTGTCTCTAGTGGTGGCGCCCGCTTCTACGGAGATTGCAGCTTCTGTCTGATTGTTTTTCCTTTCCTCCTCCATCCCTTCCACATCTCACAGCTTAGGGTAGGTAAGTAGGCGCGCGCCAATCTCGGTACTAAGTGTCCTCGGAGAGGGGAAGGGACAGGAGGGCGCGAGCACTGCTGATGGTACTTAGGACGCAGCTAGGCGCGCGCGTATTTCCCAGCCCGCGCCTGAGCGCGAGAACCCGAGATCCAGGAGAACCAGCCTGGGCTACGAGAGGAACCAAGGAACAGCACAATAAACATTTGAACACACTAGTCGAGGCATCTACAAGAATGGTCCCTTCTCATTGGCGAAAGTGAATTTCAGGAGACACAGGGAAGAAATCCCGCATGCACGATCCTGGGAAGGAGGCACGTATTTTACGGTCCTGGAGATGAAAGAGGCGATGTTCGTCTGGGGAAGCAAGGGAAAGAGGAAAGTTGTGCTTTGAAAGCTTAAAGTTCATTTAGTTTAGTCTTGAAAAAGTCACCAGTGTGGAAAAGCACAGATTTTATCAGTGTCGCTGCAATGGTGAAATCATAAGGTTGAAAGAGTTTTTACGTGAACTTGTGGCTTTTCTCCCTACTCCTTTTTCCATCTGTCTCCTTACAAAGTTCAGTTTTGTTTCTTTAAAAGAAGGAAAAACCCCCAGTTTCGATATCCACCCCCACCAAAAAAAAAAAAAACAAAAACAAAACCCCGCATATTTCCCGTAGCCTGTCTAAGCAGTTTAACTTAGAAAGATAGAACCCCAGCCACTGTTGACTTCTTTAAAAAGGTATTTGTTAGAATTAACCAATGGAATACTTTGTATTTTGAGTTAGAATACACACATAACAGAACTATAACTTGTTTAAAAGTTCCAGGTGAAGTGGTTGGAAGTATTGTTTAAAGAACACATTTTCAAAGCCAAGATAAATGGGTTATAGTGGTGTAGTGTACGTTGGTGGGTTGTGAATGACAACAATTCCAATTCAGGTACCTGTGAAATCCAGAATTAATTAGTTCCGTGGTTTTTTGTTGTTGTTGTCTGTTTTGTCGCTTTGAGACAAAGTATCTATAATCCTGGCTGTCCTGGAATGGGCTATGACAATGGTTCTCAGCCTGTGGGTCGCAACCCTTCAGGGGATGCACGTCAGATATCCCGTATATCTTACTTTTGTATTATGATTCATAATAGTAGCAAGATTGCAGTTATGAAGTAGCAACAGAATCATTTTATGGTTGGAGGTCACCACAGCATGAGGAACTGTCTGTATTAAAGAGATACAGCATTAGGGAGGTTGAGGAACACTGTAGACCAAGCTAACCTGGATGGAGATCAACCTGTCTCTATCTCCCTCGTGCTGGGATCAAAGGGATGCACCACCAGGTCTGGCTGCTTCTTTGAGGGAAAGCATCAATAATCCGTAGCTTCCTTTTCCTTTTTCTGGGGGATGGTGCTTGCACAGTTAAGAGACAGAGCATAAGTGAGAGGCCACTAATACTTTTTTTTTTTTTTTTTTTTTTTTTTTTTTTTGGTTTTTCGAGACAGGGTTTCTCTGTGGCTGTGGAGCCTGTCCTGGAACTAGCTCTGTAGACCAGGCTAGTCTCGAACTCACAGAGATCCGCCTCCCTCTGCCTCCCGAGTGCTGGGATTAAAGGCGTGCGCCACCATCGCCCGGCTTCACTAATACTTTTTTTTAATTGACCTGGAGACAAAGTTACAGTAAGAGGAAATATTAGCACTGGTTGGAATGCATTTGGGTAAAGTATTTTTTGTTGAAGTTAGTCGATCTATGGGAGAAAGCAGACCCAGGAACGTTATTCATTTGGGTAAAGCGATTCTTTAACAGCCCAGCAAACACTTGGGCACAGAGACTGAGACAGTTATTTGGAGAGAATCAGGTAAATTGTAAGCATTAGGAAGATGACAGGACAGAGAAGGAAACTGGAACAGAGTCTTGTGTATTCTGTGGCTTGATTGTTTGTCGTGGTTTTTCGAGACAGGGTTTCTCTGGTAGCCTTGGTTGTCCTAGAACTTGCTTTGTAACCCGGCGGTGGTGGCACACGTCTTTAATCCCAGCGCTCAGGAGGCAGAGGCAGGCGGATCTCTGTGAGCTTGAGGTCAGCCTGGTCTACAAGAGCTAGTGCCAGGACAGGCTCCAAAGCTACACAGAGAAACCCTGTCTTGGGGATGGTGGGGAGAAAGAAAGAACAAACTTGCTTAGTAGACCAGTGTGGTCTCGAACTCACAGAGATCCACCTACCACTGCCTCCCGAGTGCTGGGATTAAAGGCGTGCACAACCACACCCAACCTGTATTCTATGTTTTCAATAACTGTTTTTAGCACTGAAGTAGGTTCTGCTGCAGACAGACTTAGCCAGAATTCAATGAACTGACACCACGAATAGAAGACGTGCAAGTGTTTAACTGCCACGCTTGTTTTTATTTTCAATTTTTACAGGGTAGAAATAATCATATGTACTGTGTACCAGTGCAGGTGGGTAGTCCAGCAGGCTTGTGGAGATCAAAGGACCACTTTTCGGCCTTGGGGAGTCACTTCTCTCTTTCCACTGTTGGCTCCTGGGGTCTCACTTGAGTACTCAGGCTTCCATAGCAAGCTCCGGTTGAGGTGTCCCAACAGCCCTCTGGATTTTTTAATTTTTTTTTAAAATGTCAGTACCATTAGGGGCAAGGGGATTTACTGAGTGATTCCAAGGTGAAAAAAAATTTTAGTCACCGAGTAGTAGAATCTCAGTAAATGTCAGCTCCTCCATCACCCATTGCCCATCCCTACTGGGAGAAAGGACACACTGTGGACCTGAGTGCTGTTCCACCCCTACCAGTGTGAGTGCAAGATCTCTTGACTAGTCAGAGAATAATTTTCAGTGAAGGGAAGGGCACTGAAATCCATTTGATGTGGGCACTAAACTTTTACCCTGTACAGTACAAAAGAGTGTATATAGCCTGGTTTTTAAAATAAACTTTTAAAGTTATGATAATGGCTAAATTTTTTTGTTTTGTTTGTTTTGTTTTTCGAGACAGGGTTTCTCTGTAGCTTTGGAGCCTGTCCTGGAACTAGCTCTGTAGACCAGGCTGGCCTGGAACTCACAAAGATCCGCCTGCCTCTGCCTCCCGAGTGCTGGGATTAAAGGCGTGCACCACCACCGCCTGGCCTTTTTTTTTTTTTTTTGGTATGACTAAAATTATTTAACATTATACTGGTTATTTCATTCTTGTTTCTTTATTAAATGAAATTTCTATTTTTTTAAATTAATTCTTTGACATGTGTGTACTGCTTCTCATCCACGTAACCCTCTCTCCCCACCACACACACCTATGAATCTTCAGGTTCATGACTTGATTCGGTTTAGGCAGAGCCGTCTATGTGGCCATTGGATTAGGACTGTCATTGTAGGCTGGTGGGGGAGTCTCCAGTGGCTACCTAACTGACGGCAGTGATTCCCTCTGTCCCCTGAATTTTTACTTAGGAAATAGTTCAACGGTGAGGGTTGGGGCCCCTGAGTCCCTCCATCCTTATCTGACTGTTGAGCAGAATCATTGTCAGTAGTCAGTAGTTTGGGGAAGTTCTTAATTGTAGTTGCTGTTCATAAGATGGCATTTTGCAGCCCTTTTTCCTGTCTGCCAGCTTTTTCTTTCCTCCCAATCTTCCATACTGTTCTTCTGAGCTTTGGCAGGGATGCTATAAATGTCCTGTGTGGGGTTCAACACTCAACCATGATTTACTCTTAACACAAATGCAGTCCTAACAGTCTAACTTCATCTCAACTCCCTGGAAAGTGGCTTCTTTGGATAGGACTGAGGATGGTGATTGTCTATGAGTATTAATATGTGCTTTTAGTCAGCACTCTGGAGGCAGAGGCAGGCTGGTCTACAAAGCAAGTTCTGAGATAGCCAGAGCTGTTGCATAGAGAAAAAAAAAGCCAATAATACTAAATTATTTCTTCAAACTTTTTAAAGTTTTAATTCATTTTATTAAGGCTAGGAGATAGCTTACTTAGAACGTCAGAAATCATTCAAGATGCCTAAGTATGGCACCCTTCAAAAAGCCAGGGTTGATGGTTCAGTTTGTAATCTCAGTGCTGGGGAGGCAAAGACAGAAGGCTTCTGGGATAGGATGGACAGTCAGCCTAAGCTAATTGCTACGCGCCAGAAAAATAAGGTGGGTAGTTGCTGGGAACAAACACTGAAGGCTGACTTCAGGCCTCCACACACTTGTGCACAAGCACACCTGTCTGTTCACACAAAGCTTGTATGTGCCCCACACAACCACATTTTCCCTGCTCTCTCAAAGCGCCTTGTTGATTTCTCTCCTTATGTAACGGTCGCAACCGCCTGCTTGTCAGCCAGGGTTTCACTCAGGCTTTGAACGTCTACGTTTTGTTTTCCTTTTTTTCTTTTTTGAACTCGTAACTCACCATCTTATCCAAGCTAGTTTCAAAGTGGTGGCCTCAGGCCATTCTCCTGTGCCAGCCTCCCAAACGGCAAAGTCCTACTTCTTTGTTTTTTTTTTGTTTTGTTTTGTTTTGTTTTGTTTTTTTTGGTTTTTCGAGACAGGGTTTCTCTGTGGCTGTGGAGCCTGTCCTGGAACTAGCTCTGTAGACCAGGCTGGTCTCGAACTCACAGAGATCCGCCTGCCTCTGCCTCCCGAGTGCTGGGATTAAAGGCGTGCGCCACCATCGCCAGGCAAAGTCCTACTTCTTAGACAGGATGAGTATTGAGCAATGTCGACAACATTCCTCAGATTTTATCAGAGAGAAGGCAGTGACTTGTTCCCTCTTGTAAGGATTTGTTTCACTTTCCATTTTGAACAAATTGCAGCAATTCAAGGAATGGTAGCCATGAGCAGCGTACTAACTCCAGGATCTGACTTTAGTTTCTGGTTTCAGTTTTGCATCTTAACTCTCACCTGTCTCTTTTTTATAATTTTTAAAAAGTCTTCTGAGATTATAATAAATTACAGTATTTCTCCCTTCCCTTTCCTCCCTCCTAGTACTACCATATGCCCTTTTAGATCCTTTTTCAAACCCACGGCTTCTTTTGTTATTAATTATTATTACATGTTATGTTCCTAAATATGAACTGCTTAGTCTGTGGAATGTTAACCTGTGTGTATGTCTTCAGGACTGACCATTTGGTATAGAGCAACTCATTGGTGCGTCTTCCCTGGGGAAGATTGTTTCTCTCACTCTTAGCCTTCCTTAGTTGCCTGCAGTTCTTTGTGCTGAGCTGAGACTGTGGGATTGTAGTTGGGCTTTTCTTTGGGCCGCCAGCTCACAAAAAACAACAGAGAGATTTATATTAATTATGAAAGCTCGGCCTTAGCTTAGGCTTTTTTCTGACTAGCTGTTACAACTTAAATTCACCCATTTCACCCATTTCTTTCTGCCTCTTGGCTTTATCTCCTCATCTGCATATTGCTTATCCTGCTTGCTGTGTCTCCTGGTGTCTCTGCCCTTCTTTTTCCCAGCGTCCTCTCTGCCTGGAATCCTGCCTAGCTATTGGCCCTTAAGCTTTTTATTAAACCAAAATGACACATCTTTACAGTTTACATGAAGTTTATTCCACAGCATGAGATTGCTTCTGCCGCTGTCTTAGGGTTCAATTGGTGTAAGAGACATCATGCCACAGTAACTCTTTTAAAGGAAAAGTACTAATTGGGTGGCTTACATTTTTAGAAGTTTAGTCCATTACCATCATGGTACAACATGGTGGTATGCAGACAGACATGGTGCTGGAGAAGTAGCCGAGTGTCCTACATCTTGAGTTGTTAGGTAACAGGAAGAGGTCTGAACCACTGGGCATATAAGAGCCCTCAAAGCCCATCCCCACAGTTACACTCTTCCTCTAGCAAGGCCACCCCTCCTAGTAATTCCACTCCGTGGCCCCCAAGTGCTTATAAAAATAACATAATGCAAAAAAGTATTCAGTCCAACTTTAAAGTTCACATAGTCCCTCACAGTCCAAACTTATGTAAAAGTCTGAAGTTCAATGTCTCTTCTATGATTCCTACAATCTCTTTTAACTGTAATCCCCTATAAAATCAAAATCAAAAGTCCAGTCCCCTGCTTTCTTGGCCTCTGGCCAACTGTCAGTATTAAACCACCGTGTAAAAATCTTGTATTCTTTTCCTTAAATGTTGTGGTCACCCCACTTCTAAATACCACTGCCAGGTATTGGTTGGTTGTGGTGGCTTACACCTGTTTTCCCAACACTTTGGATGTAGCAAGCCCTGGGCACTTGATACCATTCTAGGCAGTTGAATTTGCCCACTCAGACGGACTGCGTGGTTGTCTAAAAGTTATTTTTCTTTAGAAGTAGAACTCAGAAGTTTCCTTGCATCAGCACATTTCCTTGGCTGCTGTGCATTGTCAACAAGAAGGAATGGCTATCTAGAAGACAGAAGGACCTCTAGTCAGACTTAATGGACAGGTCTTTAATCCCAGCACTTAAGTAAGAGGAGGATCCAGTGTTCAAGTCCAGCCTCCACTACATAACAAGTTCAAAGCCAGCCTAAACTACATTAGACCCCATCTCAAGAAACAAAGAAAAATTAGACCGTCCTTTTATGTAAGTAGAGAGTGTACAAGCTGAGACTCACGGGTTTCCCCCTTCAGCCAATTGTCCACGTTCTACATTGGTTACCTGTGGTAATGGCTTAGATCGATGCCCTTCACCAAATGCACCTGGTGCTTGTCTCTCATCCCAGCATATAAAAGGTAGGTTCAGGGTTGCCAGGAGTTTAGGGTCATCCTCAGCTACAGCAAGGCCAGCTTAGGCCACATGAGACCCTATCTCGAAAAATATATACGTGTATATGTATGTATCTTCCAGGCCATAGTGGTGCATGCCTTTAATCCCAGCACTGAGAAGACAGGCAGGCAAATCTTTGAGTTTGAGGCCAGCTTGGTCTACAGAGAGAGTTTCAGGACAGACAGAGTTAAACAAATGCAGCGTAAACAAAAGTCACACACCTGAAAATAATATTCCCCAACATATCTATATGAATATTCACATATATATAACAATATACATAGTGTGTGTGTGTGTACATGCATATAACAAAGAAAGAAAGAACTTGCCATTCAGGCTACTGAGATGACCCATTGAGTAAAAGTCTTCCTACACAGGCCTGACGAACTGTTTGATTCCCAGAAACCATGGTGGAAGAAGAGAACTTATTCCTAAAAGTTGTCCTCTGGCTAGCCAGTGGTATCACATGCCTTTAATCCCAGCACTCAGTAGGCAGAGACAGGTGGATCTCTGTGAGTTCAAGGCCAGTCTAGTGTACTGAGCGAGCTCCAGGACAGGCTCCATAACTACTGAGAAACCCTGTCTCAAAAAAAAAAACAAAAACAAAAACAAAAAAACAAAAAAAAAAATTCACACAGCACATACAGACATAATAAAAATGAATATGAATTTTTATGGGGGAAAAGTATATAGAAGTAGACTGTTGGGGGAAGATTAAAGATTTATTACATTCATTCATGCTGTGGAATATTTGTTTAATGATACAAAGGTATGTTGCATTTGTTTGACTCTGAAGTTGTGTTACTTTGCCTACCTAAGACACCTGATTGGTCTAATGAAGAGCTGAGTGGCCAGTAGCAAGGCTGACGAGGGCTAGGTGGGACTGCCAAGTGGAGAGGATAAATAGAAGGAAAGAACAAGAGGAGGAAGGAGGATGCCAGGGGCCAGCCACACAAGAGGGAAAGGAAATATAGACAGAAATAGAGAAAGATAAAAGCTCAGAGGCAAAAGGTAGACAAGATAATTTAAGAAAAGCTGGCTAGCAACAAGCCAAGCTAAGGCCAGGCATTCATAAGTAAAAATAAGTGTCTGTGTATTTATTTGGAAGCTGAGTGGTGGGCCCCTAAAGAGTGATGCTGTGGGACAATGGTATGGTACCCTGTAAAGATTTGTATTTTAATAAAACGCTGATTGGTCAGTAGCTAGGCAGGAAGTAGAGGCGGGGCGATGAGAACAGGAGAATTCTAGAAAGAGGAAAGGTCAGTCTACAGTCATCACCTGGATGCAGAAGAAGCAATATGAGAACACCTCACTGGTAAAGGTACCTCTGCATGCTTCCTGAGGCAGTTCTCCCAGAGAGTCACGAGAGAAGATGCTTTAGTAATAGATAATTTTTTTTTAATCTATTCCAATTCTTTGACCAGAGACTCATGTTTGGGGGAGCCTGACCAATCTCACTCCCTTACAGCGGAACTTCCCACCTGAGGATTGTGGAGACCAGCTAGGTTGAAATGGAGAACCAAGAATCAACAGATTCTTCTCAGAACGCCAAACAGCACATTATTTCAGAGGAGGTAGAGTTTGCTTTTTCCTATCCTTTCCCTTCCCCACATAACACTAAGTTTAAAATGAATGTGCAGGCTATTTTTTTTTTATTACCATGGGATTTTCATTCTTGAAGATAGTTTGCAAATGTTACTCACTCCTGTTTCAAGGCTAAGCCACATTTTGCTATTGTCTGTGAACAGTGGTTTATCCATCTTAATTATATGTATAATGAAATTGAGAATAAGTATATTTTGGCTTCTAATAGAGAAATTCTTTCTAAAAATTGCCCTGGAGAGAAAAATAAATAATATGTGGTTTTGCACATAGTATGTGGTTTTGAGATTTCATATTCAGTAATTACATCTTGCTGTTTGTCATCCCAGCATAAATGTTTAAAATAATAAAAACTTAAATTGTTTTTAGGTGGTGGTGGCGGCACATGCCTTTAATCCCAGCACTTGAGAGGCAGAGGCAGCTGGATCTCTGTGGGTCCAAGGCCAGTCTGGTCTACAAAGAGAGTTCCAGGACAGCCATAGCTGTTACTCAGAGAAACCCTGTATCGGGAAGGAAAAAAAAAACTTCAATTGTTCATTGTAGCTCAGATTCCACTGAGCTGTAGAACTAATGTTGAATAGAGTTTTTAAGGCTTTTTTCTCTGAGAAACCAATTGTTGTTGTGGAGAAATTTTACATATTCATCCTGGAACTGTGGTCCTGACACTTTTCTGGATTTCTTTTTGATTTAGAATCTTTCTGTGTTGTCTGTGAACAGATCTGATAAGGATTAGGTTGGTGTTGGCGAGAGGGTGGGATGGGGCTAGTAAGAAAAGGTTATTATCACAGTGAAAATCTCCTCAGCTCTGCCTTGTGCCCTAGGTGGCTTATATTCCTAGACTCCTTGCTGTGTGGGCAGAGCAATTCCTGATGCCTGTCTTGGATTGGGTGGGGACTTGGGTATCAGAAAGAAAATCTAGTTTTTTATTTATTTCCTAGTAATTTTTTTTTTTTTTGAGACAGGGTTTTTCTGTAGCTTTGGAGTCTGTCCTGAAACTCACTTTGTAGACCAGGCTGGCCTCAAACTCCCAGAGATCCGCCTGCCTCTGCGTCCTGCACCACCACCATCCAGCTTAGTAAAATTTTACATACAACTACACACCAGTGTGGTCAGCTTAGCACGTATAACCTGGGGTCTGAACTAGAGAAACACGCAGAAGATCTCCTCCACACACACCCGTACTCCCGTGGTTCCCTTTTTCTCCCCAGCCCAGGTATTTCTATTTTTCAGATACCAAGCGCCTACTGGCAATGAGCCACACCTGCTCTGCTCCATCCCTAGACAGCAATTCTATCCCCTCCTAGTTCTACCAAAAAAAAGCCCACACTTAGGGGACCAGCTTTGAATACTTAAGCTAGAAACTTTCCCACAAATTACTGGGGGGAAGGGACATAGAGAAAATTTAAAACAATACATGTTTTGATCTTTTAAAAAAAGACCAACTTGATTTGAACATTTCCTACCTTATAACTATCTGATTTTGTTTTAGTTGATTTCGGAAGGAAAATGGATCAAATTTGAAAAAACAACTTACATGGATCCTACTGGTAAAACTAGGTAAACTTCCTTCTTTTCTTTCTGTCTTTGGTTACTCCAGGTCTCTCTTGTGTCTGTATGGACACAGGTGTGTCACCATTGTAAGCTTTCTTTGAAACAAAGAGTCAAGTCCAGCTCCTGCTCCATTGCTAAACCCTTGGGTCATTGATAATCCCTGAATAAACTGAATTACAGTTGTTCCTATACCCAGTCTAACTCCATTCTCCATAGTACTGTGGGCCGAAAACGTGTCATTCTGGCTTAACAAGCTATAGAATACTCAACAGTGTTGATTGCTTCCTTCTAGTAAACCCAAATTTCTTGGTGGTTGTTGTTTTGGGTTTTTTGTTTTGGTTTGGTTTTTGAGACAGGGTTTTTCTGTGTAACAGCCCTAGCTGTCCTGGAACCCAATCCGTAGACCAGGCTGGCCTTAAACTCACAGAGGTGGCCTGCCTCTGCCTCCCAAGTGCTGGGATTAAAGGCATGGCCACTACTGCCCGGTTTAAAACCAATTTTTAATGTCTGCGTTAGAAGAAAAAGAAAACAAAGCCATTACTGGCTATTATATTTTAAAAGAGCTGTAGATGCAGCTCGGGGTATAGCACTTGCCTAGCATGTGCAAAGCCCTGGGTTTGATCCCAACCTAAACACACACACACACACACACAAAATGTAAGACAGTAGGAAAAAAATCATGTATTAAGTAGGCTTACTATTTATTCAATGAAGTGTAATAAGGAATAAAATAGAATAAAGCTGAATTTAGTATCTAGACTATATCACACCAAGTCATTACAAAAAAATTTCACTTGCTACACAATCATGAAAGAATCGTGAGTGTGTGTGTGTGTGTGTGTGTGTGTGTGAGCAAATACATTTCCCAAGGTGACAATACATAGATTTGTTGGTGATTGAAACAAACTTGACCTGTTTCTGCTGAACTAGCACAAACCTTAATAAGACCCATTACTTGAGAGCTGTGGGAGACATACTAACAGACGGCAGACAGAGCTAAGGATGGAGTAAACAGAGGGTGGGTGCAAACCCAGTACTCACCAGTGGTAGGACCTAAGCCTGGGATACAGTGTTGTGAGATGTGTGGCTGCTAGAACTCTGTACAGTGAAACAGTTTGACTCCTTTTCTCTGAAAATGAAGTTTGTAGCACAAAATACACCCTTTAACAGATCTAAAGAATGTGTGTCAGTTCACGCCCTCTCGTATCTTCCCTGACCACTCTTCGGGTATTTACTGACCAGGAAAATACATGTCTAAGTCATTGGCCCAGTTGGGCTACTATTACTGCAGTGAAGCAACACAGTCAGAAGCCCCTTGGAGAAGAGAGAGTTTATTGATCATGCGTTCATGTCACTGTTGGTCATCAGAGGAAGTCAGGACAGGGACCTGGAGGTAGGAGCTGATGCTGAGGCCCTGGAGAAAGGCTGGTTTCCCTGCATTCTACAGAACCCAGGGATGCCACCACCCATCATAGGCTGGACCCTCCCGCATCAATCACTAGTTAAGAAAGGGCCCTACGGGCCTGCACATTTTGTCAGTGGAGGCTCCCTCCTCTCTGGTGACTCTTGGCTTATGTCAAGGGACATAAACTACCCGGCACAGTCATTTAGGATTCTTTTCCTCAGGATTCCTGTGTCTAGGTTTCATTTCAGAGAGTCTAGTCTTTAATTTGGGAATGAGTTTGTAAGTCTAACTACCATGTTTCTGCTGCCTATGTAGAGCACTTTGACGTACCCTCTTCCATACATAATCCCCCTGGTCACTGATGAAGGGTTATGTACTGAATTAATATAATATCTCTTACCGTGGTGTCTAGCTCTGAAGCATGACGATTGACCATGATTTATTAATTTATAAACATTCATTCTCTGTTACCTCAAAGAAAAGCATATATATAAAGGATAAAAATAGCTAGAGAGGGGCTGGAGAGATGGCTCAGAGGTTAAGAGCATTGCTTGCTCTTCCAAAGGTCCTGAGTTCAATTCCCAGCAACCACATGGTGGCTCACAACCATCTGTAATGGGGTCTGGTGCCCTCTTCTGGCCTGCAGGCATACACACAGACAGAATACTGTATACATAATAAATAAATATTTAAAAAAAAATAGCTAGAGAATGATTTTTACTAGTGTCTCATTCATGGAAGAAGGGATCCTAGAAGTATTCAGTACTAATGTTAAGTCCTTACATTGGCACTGCAGACGAGGCTGAGTCGCCCCTTGCCATCTATCTCCTACCTCGCCGGGGGCTAGAGATAACCGCTCTAGGTCTCTAAGGAGAGACCAAATGGAGTAATTTAAATTTAAATAGAAATTCCAGTTCTAAAGCTGGAAGAGATTTTTCCAGATGATTTACTCTTCCCTGAGTTACACAAAGAGCAAGCTGCTGTAGCTTCGGTTTAGCTGGAGGACAAGTATAAGTGTGGGTGAATCCATGAGAACCCGAAATTAAGGGATATCAAGTATTTATTGGGGGACACTCACAAATAACCATAAGGTAGAGAGCCACCGGGGTCCTCTGCCCTTGGGGGCACTGAAAGCTGCAATCAAATCTCCAACCACCACACAAGAGAGCGAGCACGCTGCTTCTCTGCTTATTAGTCCACAGGTAGCACCTCAGACCACGCCCAAAGGGCCGGTACCCCAAAAGGTACTGGCTGAATGAATTGCCACAGCAGACAAGTAGAGAGTGAGCTTTTCTTGACAGCGAGTCCACATCCGTGAGTTCCAGGAGAGCGCCTGAGCTGTCGGGGGCACTCCTGTTGTAGTGTTTGGAATGTGTATTGACTCTACTGCTGCTCATGTACGGCTCATTGCCACTCATTTACTTCCCTTACCCACTGTAATGCTGCCACTCTGTTTTCCTTATTCCTAGTGTATTGGGATGGGACGTTCGGTGCTTTCCCCAGCACTGACTTCAGTCTTTAGGACTAACCTTAGGAGGCAGCAGAGATCTGTCACAACAGGTGTCTTGTCTCTGTACTCGGTATTATGTGTTGGAAATGGCTTGGGGTTGGCTTTCTTGCTACTAACAGGAGTGTCAGGCTACTGTGAGTTGTCACAGCAGTGTGTTTGGTTTTTGTTTTCACACGCTTGCCTTGGGAAACTTGGGTGTAATGCCGAGAGGTGTGCAGTTCACAGAAAGGGTTTGTGTTTACTCTTGCTTTAAGCCACATTAAATAGCTGGTCCTTTTTGTAGGGATGTGATATAATCAGACATCAAGGACAGCCAGGAAGAAAGTATGAGCAAGAGAGCCCCTTGGAGCAGGATGTCTTGTAATTTACTGGACTTAGCCTAGTGCCTAGAGCCATCCAGATTATAACCCACCTTTAAAGCACAGCCTGACTTTGTTTGCCTGACCACCTCCAGCATTATTTTAGCACTGCTTCCCCCTCCCAAGAGACGAGAACCAAAAGAGGTGAAATTTTCTGTTATTTACTCCCCCTTTTGAACAGTGTGTTTTTTTTCTCCCTTGTAACTCAATTTCCCATATAACCCTACCTGATGTTCCTGTAAGAGCAGGTAGAATAGCAGAGATACTACCAAAACCTGAGAGCAAGCAGCTAGGAACAAATCACTAACACGAAGGAAGCCATAAAAGGGAGCGAGAATGACGTCAAACACTTCACAGCTTCTTCTAGGGCCCTGTCCATTTCCTTACATAAAGCCACACTCTTGCAAAGAAAATCTAATTCCTCAGATAAGTGAAACTTTCTGCTTCCTTGAATTGTGTGGTTTGGTCACATATTTTACACCTGCATAATTTCAGTGGTTCATGTTGTGCATGGCATCCTTTGTCCTTGGAAATGCATCTGGAATGTCGCACCCCTGCGGAAGGCCTGGACAACTGCACTACCAGCTTATGCTGCTGACTGTAGACTTACGATTCAAACCAAAGTACTCTGAGGGCGCAGTGGCTCCAGTGCTCAGCCGCTTCCGCTTAGATGGCAGCCAGAGGCTGGGGGGAGAGGTGACAAGTTTCTTTATTTTCACCTGTGCTACAAGAAAGCACAGTTGGCTGATGAAGTACAGGTCTTTACTGTGCTCCTTGGCCACTCTCAGTAGCATATTTGCATGCATTGCATTATGAAGTTTTATGTCTACAGAATATTCTTTCCTCTGCCACTGATTGTTTTTCTTTGTTCTCTGCCTGCATAGAACTTGGGAAACAGTGAAACTCACAACCAGGAAGGGAAAATCTGCTGACGGTATGACTATTATAACTCTCTTTATGAAGGAAGCTAGCACATGAGATTATAACCAAAGACCTCAAAGAAGAATTACCCTCAGCTAGGATCTTTTATGCATACACTCACGTAGTTTTCTGTTTTTACAGTGCTGTGTTTTAGAATTTTCTGTATAAGTAACTTCTGGCTCCCGTTTTCTAAGCTAAGGGCAGTTTTTGAAGGAAAGATGTGTTAACCTATGTCAGTATAATTTGAAGGTACGTGCTGTGTCTTCATATGTTAGGACCAGTGGAGCCCTTTGTACTCTGAAAGTGAGTGCCTGAGGGTGCGGTGAAATGATCACCCACCTTCATGCTTCAGTTGAGCGGAAAAAGAATTGGGAAAGGGCTTCCGTGCACCTCCCCTTCCAGGCATAAATGACTTGGCTGTAACCACACCAGAAATATCCTGGTAGCCACATGCGGTCTGGAACAGCTGAGCTTTTTGCTTTGTTATCTTGGTTTGGTTTGTTTTTGTAGGAGGCAAACAATTCCTTTGCTCCAGCTGCTCTTAACTATCAATGCATCTGGGAGATGCTAACAATCCTCCTTGATGGGGTCTCTCTCCACAGCCAGCGACTTTCTGGTTTTGTTTTAAGGCCAAATTATTTGGAGCAGAAGAGCTTATATTCTAGAATAGCAGAAGTCGGACCATTGACAGAGAAGACACAGCGGATCTTCACTGGCTTCTGGCATAAAGGAGATCTAGTGGCCGCAGACACTCTTCACCAGGAGTCACCTCACTGGCTGCCTGGGGAGCAGGGGCTTCCCATGCTTGGCCCGGTGTGACATGTCTAATTTCAATTTCAACTTCATTTTTTAAAAAATTGTGACTGAGCTGGTAGTTCACACCTGTAGTCCTATACACTTGGGAGCCTGGAGCAGGGAAATCATGAGTTTGAGTTAGCCCAGGCAGTAGACACACATAGGCTCCATCTAAAAGAGAAAAAGGAAAAGGATGTTTTGACAACAAAAAGTGAACTTTTTATAATTAAGAGTATTTTAAAATCTGACAGAAGTGTTACTTTTTAGTTTCTTTTCTTGTTTTCTTTTTTATTGTTGTTTTTTGTTTGTTGGGGGGGGGTTCTTGTTTTTGTTTTGTTTTGTTTTCTGCTGTGTGTGTGTGTGACAGGGTTTCTCTGTGTAGCCCTGGCCATCCCGGAACTCAGCGGACCAGGCTGGCCTCAAACTCAGAGAACCGCCTGCCTCTGCTGGAACTAAAGATGTTCGCCGCCACTGCCCAGCTTATATTTTACATTATTAAATGAGACTAGTTCAGAGTGCTGCCAACATGTAGGTTAATTAATTGCTCACTGCTTCAACAGCAAATTCAGAGTATTTTAGATGCATCTTCAAATCTGAAATTTATGTTGGATTGCTGACCTTTCTTAAGGATTCCTTAGCTGTGTTTCTGTTTGACAGCCGTGTCAATCATCCCAGTGCTGCAAAGAACTCTTCATTATGAGTGTATTGTTCTGGTGAAGCAGTTCCGACCCCCAATGGGTGGCTACTGCCTGGAATTTCCAGCAGGTGAGTAACGCCAGGGCCTTTGCCTGAGACTGAGCATCACATTGCTTATGTCTTAACATCTTTTCATCTGTCCACGTGGCAAATGTTTAAGTAATAAACATGTCTAAGGCTAGGGACCTCTGGAAGAGCAGGCAGTGATCTTAACCTCTGAGCCATCTCTCTAGCCCCACACAGTATTATAGCAATGTATTGGACTGTACTCATGAAGAAATCAATAAACCCCGTGTATTTATCAAAAGTGGTATACTTTACAGCCAGTTTCATGAACCTCGCTAGGGTTTAAGTGCAGTGTTTACCCATTTAACAAAGCCCAATTCACAGCAATATATAGTTAGCTAGTTTCTTTCTCACTTGCCATTTTATTAAGAAAATAATAACACTGAAAGTAATTTAATAATTTAATAACCTACATTTTACTTGTTCTTTACACGGTTGTATTCCATTCAGGAAAATGAACCTGAGTTTTTACTTTCTCCCTCTTTTGACTATCTGGTCTCCATAGCAACCTTCAGGGCACTTCCTCCTGGCACTTTATTGCTAGGCCTCAGGATTTTTCTGTGAGGAAGGAAAGCAAGATAAGTAAATGGTTACCATACCAAAAAATGAAACAAAAAGAATCAGCCTCTTGTACTATAGTCACATAACTGGCTCCAAAACCTAGGCTGTTTGGCCACCACCAAATCATCTTTCCTCACGGTGCTGCTCCTCTTGTACAGAACATGGCTGAGATGTTCATGAAAACATCTGGATGTAAGCAAGAGGCAGGAGAAACACCTACCATAACCTGTTTGGTATGCAAGGGTGACCGTGACTTTCCTAAGTCAGCTCCTTAGGAACTGTTAGAAAGATGTTCAAAGAACTGGCTTCCCATCTGTCCTCCAGGGCTCATCGACGATGGGGAAAGCCCAGAAGCAGCTGCTCTGCGGGAGCTAGAGGAAGAAACTGGCTACAAAGGCGATGTTGCTGAATGTTCTCCAGGTTTGTATTGCTTTTCAGATGTCAGTTTCTTGAACATTAATGTAACAGGGCTTCTGTATGGTTGGAGTGTAGGCAGAGAGGGACCAGGGATTTAGATCGGTTTCCAGTCACGTGCAGTGATGTTTGTGATTCTAGTCCTCCAGGGCTGAGGAAGCTGTGTAAGATGAAGGTCAGCATGGGCCAGACAATAAGACAGTGTTTCAGTGCCCCTTTACCCCAAATTAAAAAGGCGGGCTCTCCATCTGCAAGTGAACCGCTCTTCTGCACGAGAGCATGTAGAGAACTGAAAACTGTGAAACCAGCTTGTCTGCAGTGCGCAGCAAACCTTGCTACTTTCTCACCTGTCCGTGGACACTCCCCATCAGAACCATCAACCCTCAGACCCCCCCAGACTGGTGCAGGAACTCCAGGAACTTTGAGAGCATTTTGATCACATTCTACAGTCTGGTAGCATCTACTGACTAGATACTGATGGCATGAACCCTGAGCCTCACCTCCTCTGTGACATTTAGTGAAACAAGTAAGCACTTGCCTCATTTCTTAAGACAAGTTGTCACTTCTTTTCTCAGCTGTGTGCATGAATCCAGGCTTGTCAAACTGTACCACACATGTTGTGACAGTGACCATCAATGGAGATGATGCTGCAAATGTAAGGCCGAAGCCCAATCCAGGTAAGGGTGGGTATGCTGGATGCATTTAAGTGGGTTGAGCTGCATTGAGTATCTTAACTCGCTAAAGCAAGCATGGTTTTCACTGGAAGAATCATAGTGTGCCACAGGTTCTTCGTGGATACTTGTCTGCTTCCCAGTGTTGGGTAGGTATTTTGACATAGTCTCTTTATTTAGCATTTCATTGATCTTTTATGTGTTTTGTTTTTATAAAATGTTAAACTATAAAAGTTATATTATTTGATTTTATAAAATGTTCAATGTCCAATTTTTTGGTGTGTGTGTGTGTGTGTGTAAAATTGATTCCTATTTAATGAGGTACAGGCCCAACTAGAAAGTGAGAAACTTTAAAATCGCCTTGGTTTTTGTCTTTATGTGTAAGAGCAGCAGGTGTTAAAGGCTGCAGCCTTTATTCAGCCAGTTTTATATTTGGAGAGTTTGTAAGGTTAGTCTTTGCACTAAAATATCCCCTAGCAAGTTGGGGTCCAAAAGCATTAAGACGCTGTCAATTCCCTGTCCTTTTTTCCACCCCTTTGAAGGTGGATTAATAGACGGGTGATTTATCAGTACACATGGTTATCAATACACACACACCATAGTAAATCATGTTTGAGTGGTAATTTCTTATCCTTGTAAATTAATCCTGCATATGCTTAATTATCTCTTGTAGCCAGTTTTAAATGCTTAATTGTTTAAACTGCATATATTCATAAGACATGGAAGAATTCCAACTTTCAGTTTGGGGTGGTAAAAGATTGTGAGCTTAAGGATGGTAACATTTGCATAACTTATATTTAATCTTGCTGAATCTTAATTTAAAAATGGTTAAAATGATAAATTTTCTATTGTGTCCACAGGTATAAATGTGGCAAACATGAATTACAGGATATGCTTTAAATTTTTCTATGAAATGATTGGAGAATAACATCGTTATGCTATTGAAATTGACTTTACTATGATATATTTAGTAGTCTTGAGTTTCTGTTAGATTCTTCTCCAGTTTTTATACTTGCACTGAAGTCTTCCAAAGGCTTGTCCCAGCAGGCTGTACTAAAATATAAATGTTCTTCCCTCTTTTTATTTGCAGGGGATGGAGGTATGTTATTCAACTCCCAATGGCTGGCCCTGTGATGGCTTAGTGTAGTGGTAATGACGGCTGCAGACATTTGGGGCTGTTGGGGTTCACTCCTGTTCAACTTTATTTTCACTGTATTCTGTTTGTTTAGAATTTGTGGAAGTGATTTCTTTACCAAAGAATGACCTCCTGACTAGACTGGACGGTAAGCACCTTAAGGTTATTACCCAGCCTTCTCTTGGTTCCCTGTCCCCATTTCTATCCACTAGGACATTAGTGTTATTCCCTCATCTTCATCTCATTAATGTCAGACACCTAAAAACTTTGAAAATTACTGTGGACCAATGCTAGTATTTTCAAGTGATATACAATTTGGAATATATATATTAAAAAAATTGTGTTGAGGGAATGCTTTAATAGGGGCCTTTTAAAATTTCCCTACATAATAGTGATTATTTTCCTGCAGTCTAACCAAAACTATTGAGTTCTTTGATCAGTACCATGTCCAGATGTAGATGTGTATCCAGCTGCACTGGTGTATTAGATGTCTTTGTGGACAGTCAAGTTAAATCAAGGTAAACTCTGACAGCACACACTTGACTGAGAAGCTGATAGAATGAATGAACCTTAGTAAATCAGGGCCAGTTGGTTATATCAGCCCATCCACAAAGACAGTGCAAAAATCCTGTCAGATATTGATACCTTCCCTAGATCCTGTTACTGAGGAGGTGGCACAGGTGCTCCTCTGTGCCCCAGCTTTGTGGACCCCAGCTTTGTGGACCGCTATTCACTCAATTGTGAAGAAGCAGAGCCTTTCATGATCCCATTTTTTTTTTTATAGATCTCTTTCAGGAAACAGATAACTTATTTTTGCTAGAGTTTTTAAGTAATTACTTTGGAGATTAACATAAAATAACAAGTATTCGTTGACCTAAAACCATAGGAATAGTCCTTAATTCCTCCCATGCCAGTGATTTATGGCTTCCCTTATGCAGAGAGCTCTATTTTGAAATGTCTATTGCTATTTAAAAATTAAGTGACTATCTTTCAAAAAAAACTATGGTTTTATATTCCCAGACAGCTTCAATTTCTTCACCTTTTCAAAAACTAGACCTGAGATAGAATTCATCTGAATACCTCAAAGTCAAATTAAATGCCACCATTTATTCAGAAAAGGCATGGCAGCCAATATTAGGCAGTACAGCTAATGATCGGACAGGCCTGGTGAGTTTGAGGCTCTGCCACCATTATCATTGTTACTAGTTTCTTGTTTTCTTGAATCAAGTAAGCCTCTTCCTGTGAGGATGCATGAGAAAACTTAGACAGATAATGCAGGCAAAGTGCTTAGCCCCCAGGTGCTTAAACAGTATGTGGTAAATGCTTTGTTTATAGAATGTCCTTCATAGGGTTCTCTCTCTCGTTCACCTGACTTCCCTTCTGGTCTTAGGAGGGGATAATTCAGCAAGAAAGAGGGGAGGGTGAAACAACCAATTTACCTAACCAGTATAATCAAACTACAGGAATCAACATTCATGTTGGTTTGTCACAGAGTGGCATACAGTTCTGCTGTACACAGGTGAATAGGACATGACCCCTGACCTCAAGGATCAGTCCTTTGAGCTTATTCCCAAATAAGTGGCTAGGAGACACTGGGCCAGTGAGATGGCTGCATGCTGTCCTGATGGGACATTTGTGTCGCTACTTTTAATCCTTTACTGTGTTAATTTTAGACTGTGTCCCCAGCATCTAGTATAGGAACTGGCATACATTGTGAACAGTGATTGTCTAGGCTCTCCTGTCATCATCTCTAAACTGTCATCTTTGCTTCCTTAGCTTTGGTAGCAGAAGAACATCTTACAGTGGATGCCAGGGTCTACGCCTATGCTCTGGCACTGAAACACGCGAACTCGAAGCCATTCGAAGTGCCCTTCCTCAAATTTTAAGGCCAAGAAGGACACTGGCCATGTTTTGTAAATGAGACCATAAGGCCTTCATCATTCAATGTATTCAATTAAGTTTAATGTAGATCGGAAATCAGCTTTTTCATAAAATAAAAGCAGCCCCGACTGCATGTGGCATGGAATTATAATACAGAGAGGATGTAACCTTCATTTAAACTTGTCAAATGCGTATGAGAAAGAACATAAATGTAGGTATGTATGTTAAGATTTCTTCAACTTCACCTAGTCTAGAAGGTGAGGGTATTTCTCAGGAATAGACTTGAGCTGCAAATTAGGTTGGCTATTTCCATCCTCAACTCCTAAAATAAAAATTATGTACTTAGGTCTGCAAATAGCTACTTATTAGATTCATAATAAGATTTTGATTAGATTTCAAAAGAAGAGGGTTAGGTTTCGTTTTGAGACAAGTTCTCATTCTAGCTCTCACTGGCCTGATACTTGCTTTGTAGACCAGTCTGCCTCTAACTCCTAGAGGTCCTCTGCCTGTCTCTGCCTCTCCATTGCTAGGATTGAAGGTATGCACCACCACACCTGGCCAAAATAAGTTTTAAAAGACTCTGATAGGAAATTAATTGGTTTCTCCTAATTCTATTTGCCTTATGGAATTTGGGTACTTTAAATGTAAAGTCAACAGAGAATAACATTTGCAGTAAATATTTAGCTACTTGTGGTACATGCTTGTAATCCACCTTCTTGGGAGGCTGAGGCAAGATCATAAATGTGGCCAGCCTGGGCTGCATAATGAAACTTTATCTCAAAAATAACTTTTAAAATGTAGTTGATATCCTTGTAAGGCCATTTAGTTCCTAAAACATGCCAAGACTAATGCTTCCGTAGTGAACGTGGTTAACTCTTAATATATTAAAGGCTAAAGCTAAGAGACTGAAAACTCAGGGCCCTTCCTGCAAGTGTGCATATACTTTAATTTCCTATCCTTACCTCAGAAAATTGTCTACTAAAGCTAAATCCATAGGAAGATTGGCATTGACTCCACATGTATATTGATGTCAACGGGCATGGGTATAGGGAGATACATTAGCCAGCTATCTGAAAGGTAAAACTATACTGGGAATGCAACAATGGTTTCCATCGAGTGCATGGAAAACTCATCAGCCAACAGTTCTGCCAGTGTCCTTGTTCTGATGAGCTCAGCTATTGTGTTGACTACTGTAGCTCAAGGATTGCTGTCTTGCAGCTCAGCCTCTAGCAGCATTCTCAGCATGATGCTTGTTGACCAGCTCAGTATGTTTGCAGCTGGATCCAGGGTCAAGGCAAACTCTCTGAACCTTACAAAGTGGTTTACCCATGTACAGTCAGGATCCATGCTAAGTGTTATCACCAACAGGTATTTTTATGTAAAAGTATAAGCTCTTTCTACAAACCTTTATATTGGACTTGAGGATGGAAATAATTCTGGAATTTTATAAACCAAATCTGCTTTCCTAATGAATGTGAAAATTAAGACCCACCTTTCTATACAACAGTAGCCTTTCCTATGATTTTAACACTTTAAAAAAAAACAAACTTGTTTTCTAATCATAAGCATGATATTTCTCCAAAGATACTAGTTTTTCCCATGAGTTCCCCAGGATCTTTCTTTCCCCCATGTTGCTTCCATCCTCTGAAATGAAGAAACAGGCTCCATACATTCATCCTCTCCATGGGGCAACTCTAGAGCCAGGTGCAATGGGAGTGGTCTTTGGTATTGGCCAGGACACAACATTTGTCCCATTCTCCCTGACCTTTGTGTCTCTTTCCATTTGTCCCATTCTCCCTGGCCTTTGCGTCTCCTTGTTCTAGGAGTGCAACTGGGCAAGAACACGTACCTCCTAGACTTGTCCTTAGTGTCATTTGTATCACCTGTGCACCTCAGAAGGGCCTGTTGGAGGTGAAGTCAGACTCAAGAGGGCTGGCCATCTGGCATCTTCACTGGATTTTTGGCTACATTTCTAAGGAAGCTTCCCTTTTGCATTCCTCTGTAAACACACAAAATGGGTCCTAATGCCCCGGGGTGTTTCCAGTGCCTGACTTCACTCACCTCCATAGTTATCTGACTTCATGATCCAAGTTAAGTCAGTACTACCTCCCATTCCTACTAAGGAAATCAATGATTGAAAACTGTACTTCTGAAAATAACTTAAAAATTAAATTTGATAATTTTTTTGAAAAATAAAGTATGCACTCTAAAAATGCTAGAGTATGTTTTAAAACACTTTGCCTGTCCCTTTCTAAATATGCATGAGCACCCTTCAACTGCCACTGCCCTTCAGGAATTTACAACTGAATTATGACTACATCTAACTTCTTTAAGCATATCTGGATGGTTTCCATAGAAATACAATGAGCTTACAAAATTAATCTTAAGAGAACATTTAATACCGCATCTCTTTATTTTTCCAACACAACCGCAACAGTTTTATTAAATAAAACTTTATTGTCTACTGTTTACGTTTGGGTCCTGCTATGCATGTAAGAGACAAAGTCCTAGTTTGAATTATTCACTGTTCACTTCCACTCAACTACAGACACTGCTTGGGGAAAGGAGAATACTAATGGTCATCACACTGAGTGCTGGAAGGAGAAGGCAGAGCCAGTGCAGCTGCACAGCACTCTTAGCTGTCACTGGGAGAAGAGGAAGAATGAAAAGCAGGAGGAATTAGAAACAGTTGTTTCCAGTGACAGAAATAACTTCGATGTTTGACTATTGCCCATCCAGGCTGAGTGGCAGTTTGGAGATAGGACAAATAAAGAGGGGTCGGGGCTGTTGAGGGAAGGTCAAGAACATGGATACGATGAGTTAAAAAAGTATAAAAATTATCTAAAATATACATTAGATATAAATGCTCCGTAACTCATTAGGGAAGCTCAAAAATACTGGAAAGTGGCAATTTGCACTGTTTAATTTTAAACAAGGGAATATTCAGTGTTCTGAATGTTGTGTGCAAAGCTAGTCCATGTCACTGTCTTGCTGTCTGACCAACAGCTAAGCAGATACACTGCGTCCCAGCATCATGGGCAACACTAGATGGACGGTGCCAACAAATAATGTAAACTTCAGTTTTAAGGCAGCTGGTACTAATGCTGCACACAGGCTTAGCTTGGTGCCCATTTCAGAAATGGGACAATTAGCACTAAAAACAACAGACTGAGGGAAAAAAAGGGAATCCGCATTATTTGACAGAAACAGTATGTCAAAATATTTTCCCTTTCACACACGCAAAGAAATATATGAACATTTAGAAAAACAAAGCACCCATCCCTCCAACTTCAGCCTGTTCCTTAACAAATATTTCAAAATACTGATAAATAATAGTGACTGCAAGTAGAATCCCAGTGCCAGAGCCAATGGCCCCAAGGAAGTCTGCTAATACCGACAGGGCACCAATGCACAAGCCCCCAAAGGCAGCTGCTGTGGGGATGTACCTGAAAGACAAAAGAACTTCAATCAGGCAGTAGGGAAATGGAAAGAAAAAAACAGCTAGAAGCAATGTAATGTCTAGTTAGCTCGAAATGGTTCCCTCTAAAGAGATACAAACTAGTCAGAACAGGTCCTCACTACTGAGACACTGTCCCCAACAGATGGGAGACTGACTAAGGCAATAATTATGAAACCCCAGATTTTAAAAATAATAGCTGCAAGGCAATGCAATTTTTAGGACAGAGGATTACATTCTGGGCTGAAATTTAAGTATTATTTATCATATAAATGGAGCATATATTTTGTGTGTGTGTGTATATATATATATATATATATACATGTGGATATATATGTACAAAATATGCTCTACATATAAAACATAGTGTATGTTACAGTGAATATATAGTACATATATTTTTTCAGACATGTATCTATAGCCTCAAATTGGCCTAGAACTCATAGCAATCCACCTGCTTCAGCTTCCAAGTACTGTGATTAATAAGCTACCACACCTAACTAAAATTTGGGGGGTTTGTTTGTTTGTTTGTTTAGACTGAACTCATGTAATGAGGGTTGGCCCTGAGCTCATCCAACCCTCACTTCAGGAATTTCATGATCAGAGAGACATATGCCACCACATCTGGCTAAACTATGTACTATTCTTAAGCAAGTATCCTTAAATTCCCTCTTGTAAAAAATTTCAAACCAGGCACATATATACACAGGCAAAACGTTCATACACATAAAATAATTTGAGATAGAAATACTAGGGCCAGTTCAAGAAACTGCTGAACTAATGAACAATGCACACACAACTGGGTTTTGTTGTACTGGCTTGGTACTCATAAGGTAGCCCAGGCTGGCCTTGAACTTGAGTCTCCCAAGTGCTCAGGTTAAAGGTGTGAATTATATATTTCAAACTGTATGTTAAGTGGTACATGAATTTTATCTCAATAAAGCTGTCACCAAATACCCGATACCTGAGAACAAATCCTATTTCCTGAATGTGAGGGTGCCAGGGTCTTAGAATTTCCCTGGTAGCTCACGTACAGCTAGCCAACAATGAGAACTACTAATATGCATTACGTTAACACTGGGGTGAGCAATGGTAGCACAGTTTCAATTCTAAATTATATAGGCTGCCTAAACAAAGCCTTAACAAGAACAACACCAGTAGACATGCTGACATAGAAGGGACCCAACCCTAGACAACTACAGGCAACTAAGGAATACTGAGAGCAGGAGAAAACAGCCTTCCCCAAAGAAGAGCCTCTGGTTATCCAATACCAAATGGTTAGCTCTGAAATCATGTATATTTATCATGTAACAAGAAGATTGAACAGATTTTATATATAATATATATAAATGTATAAATTTATGAATGAATATATATATATACACAGACACTTCTTTAGGAATGTAAGATACTGTGAACCTGAGAGACAGCAGGTAGGGGGAGTACACTAGAGGGGGAGAAGGGAAAAATGGTATTTTAAAAAAGTAATTTTTAAAAAGATTATAAAAGGGCCAATCCTTATGTGGAGAACAATTAAGACTTAGTTGATTTTAGTTCTCTTGTGAAGAGTAGAAAACTGAATTTGAATAAATCCATGTCCCTCAATGATCAAGGAAATGACTTTATGAGCGTACCTGTTCAGCTCGTGGACCATGGAGGTGTCTCTGTGGCCTCTCATCACCATCTGCTGCTCTTTCAGCTGCTTAGCCACCTGGCCAGAAAGAAGACTTGAAATAAACTTGCTTTCTACACTAGAAGAGCCTCAACACTGGCACTGTATCGCTCATATTAAACAGAGGAACTGAGGTTTCAGTGCTGCCAAGCATATGCTACTCATACATTACATCTGTACTCTCAGCATTTTTTTAAATTTTTTTTTTTTAATTCCTTGGTTTTTTTTGAGACAAGGTCACTGTGTAACAGCCCTAGGTGTCCTGGAACTAACTTTGTAGACCAGGCTGGTCTTGACCTGCCTGCCTGCCTCTGCCTCAGGAGTGCTGGGATTAAAGGCATGTGCCACAACTGGCTGGCTACTCTCAGCATTTTTTGTATTAGTTCTGTAAGTTTTAGAGGATCATAAAGCCACAGTAAAAGTCCAAAAGAACCAATTTTTTAGCCTGCTAGGGATATGTCTTACTAAGAATATATGAACAAAGCTAAAAACTGTATTTTAGAATCCAAATACTATGATTTTTACAAAAGTTTCCTTTAATACATTTTTATTTTATGTTCATTGTTTTGCCTGCATGTATGCCTGTGTGAGGCTGTCAAAGCCTTGGAACTGGAGTTACAGACAGGTGTGAATAGTGCTGGGAATTGAACCCGGGTCCTTTGTAAGAGCAGCCAGTGCTCTTACAATGAACCATCTCTCCAGCCCCACAAAAGTATTTTTAACTAGTCATATACTTACATCTTTGGCTGACGAACCAGACACTTCTATCCATGTCTTAGAAAAGAATGCACATGATCCCAACATGAAGATGATATATACAACTACGTGGACAGGATCCTCAAATATGGCACCCATGGACTCGGGAGGAGACAGGTAGTAGCAGAGGCCTCCAACAGGGTAAGAACGAGCAGGTCCTCCCCCACTGACATCCTATCAAACAAGAATTAAAACAAACAATGGTCAACCTGACTAGTTGAGAATACTAGGGTTTTTGTTTGTTGCTGAGGATAAACCCAGGTCCTGGAATACCAAGCGCATGCCATAGAATGTATTGCACCATAAACCTTAAGATTTGTCTCTGTTTTGGGATGAAGTCTCACTATGTTGCCCAAAATGACCCCAAACTCTTTTGAGGTGATCTGCTTTAGCTTTCTGCATATTTAAAACTACAACTGTCATGGCCAGAATATACATGTTTGAATTTTTCAAAAATAATTACAGTGTTTTAACTTTTTAAAGAGAAGCTTTATTGTTCTGTGAGTGTACACGATGCCTGTGGGTGGTGTGTGCTGATATGTGCACGGCACAGTATACGTGGAGGTCAAAGGACACGTTTGTGGGACTGGTTTGCTTCTGCCACCCTTTCATGGTCTCCGGGTCTAGTCTTAGCAAACACCTTTACCTGCTGAGCCATTTCACCAGCTCATGCTGATTTGAAACACAACAACAAATGAGCCTATATAATTTAAGAAGTTAACCTTGCATCCTTCAGTCCTTCAAAATTATGTACTTTATTTTGTGCAAGACACTTTGTTTTGAATAGATCATTAACAGAAGAGTGAGTTTTAAAAATATAGATCTATGAAATCTGGAGGAAAGATATAATCTCTGATTATATTTAGAATCTGAAATGGATAACCATTGCATTTTGAAGTTTTAAGAAAACAATCAAGCCAGGTGGTGATAGCTCACACCTTTAATACCGGCACTTCAGGAGGCAGAGGCTGACGATCTCTGTGAGTTTGAGGCCAGCCTGGCTGACAGAGCAAGTTCCAAGACAGCCAGGGCTACATAGAGGCTATACTGAGGCAAGAAGACTGCCTAGTCGGCCTGGACTATATAGCGTGAGACCATGTCAATAAACAACAAAGACTACAAACAAAGTCACTTTTGTGAAAGCAACTATAATTTTTAGCCTAAAAAGCTATTCAGATGATGTAAGAAAATGCTTTCCATATAGTAAAACATTCAAAACTACCTGGCAATCTTAGTCTTAGAACATTTACCAAATTTTCCAAATAACAAAATGATACAGGTAAATAAATTTCAAAATGCTTCAATATCTATCTCAATCAGTTAAAAATACAACTATGAAATATAAATTTTAAATATTTAATAAAAATAAACATACTCACGGCCCACTGTCCTAGTAAGTTTACTAAGAAGTTGCCACTAAATCGAACAGACAGCATCTGGGAAATGACATACAAGTTTGACACTAGGGCAGACTGGAGAATTATGGGAATATTCGATGTGTAGAAGAGCTTGATGGGATAGCTACTGTATTGTCCGCGATACCGGGCCGACTTAATGGGCAAGTCCACACGAAACCCCTAAAAATGAAATCACTAGTAAGAGGAACTGCATATCAAAGATTGCAGAGAGAGGAAAGGATAGCAGCAGAGAATTGACAAACCAGCAATAAAATTTGTCCCTTACCCAAAGATCCCTTTTTCTAGTTCATAGCTAGTATTGTCCACCTTCAAACTAGGGCACACTGGTTCTTGAAAAGCTGATTTATTAGACACCATCCTTTCAAACAGCATTCTTTTTACCAGAAAAAGAACAATGACATCAGTGAAAAGGTTACACTTACCTGAAAATATATGACAACAGCAAACACGAAAACTGTGGCGATGAGATTCATGAGATTGGGGAGGTTCTGCCGATAGAAGGCCTCCCTCAAGGCTCGAACTTTGTCTGTCCTGGTGGCCAACAAATGAAATAGAGCTATGACTGCACCTTCAAACTCCGTACCTGAGAAATTGAGACAGAAATGAACTGTGGGTGCCTCTTCCAAAATCGTCTCAAAAGTCTAAACAAATAACTTGAACCTCGAGTCAATTTACCAATTGATGACTCTGTTATACGTATGGCTTTGTAACATGGCCAAGCGTGTGGGTTCTAAATATGTTTCATGGAGGCAAATTTCAACATAAATCTGCAATTTTCATTCATAAAAGTTTGCCTCTCCTTTAGGGAAAGGAAGGAAGTATTTTTAGGGATAATAAAAAGCAGCAGCAAAGCAGAATAAAAATGTCAGAATCAGAGCAGGTATGTTTATCTACCATGCTTGCCTTTAGTTGACTGCACCAAGAATGTTAATAAATTATCAGTATTTTCTTAAGGCTGGGATCAAAGTTAGACATTGACTAGTTAGGACAGAATGACAACTAAGAAGTGCAAAGAGATACAGGGAAAAAACAGGATGAAATCTTTCAAACCTTAGATGCTAATACAAAGCCAGCTAGAGAGGCAAGGGTATGAGTGCTCTCAGAGGACGGCCAAATCATAATCCACTACCTTTCTGTCCTTCCGGTAAAGCTGCAATCGGGGAGGTAAATGACTCTGGCAGCAATGGCTTAAGCAAGGTCAACAAAATTGTAATACAGTTTGCAACCACTGAAACTTTAAACAAGCAGAGGTTAGATGCACTCTTTTGGACTTACTACTGCATACTTCACACATCTCTCTGCTCATTAAGTTTTAAACAGTTAGCATTCGTGGTCTAGGGTAGCAAACTGGAGTGCCTAGAGGCATGTGCTGCTGCATTACAGACTCATTTTCAGCATACATCCAGCAAAGCTCGTGCAGTTGCAGTCACTGTGCAATGTACCTCTGCCAGTGTTAATGGTAGTGGGACTAAAGGCCTTCCAGACAATGGTTTCACAGATGTTGGTGGCAATAAAGAGGGAAATACCAGACCCCAAGCCGTAACCCTTCTGTAGCAGCTCATCTAACAGCAGCACAATCAAACCAGCAACAAACAACTGTGGGGAAAGAAATGCACGTAAGCAGAAGCAAGAATAAACTCAGGAAGGGGCAGACGAATGGCTAGTTCACAGTTTGTGCATTCCCATTGTCAAACCCAAGCACTGTTCTTCACCGCTGTGCTATCTGCAGCCACTGCCTGCTCTAGTCTAGTCACCGGTCAACCTAAAAATCGAAGGACTAGGACTGCTGCCTCTTTATATAGCAAACGTTTCACCTCAGAGTTATATTTATACCAGCTAGATAGTTTCACTTACAATTTTTAAATTGTGCCCATGGTAGAGACACTAAATAATAATCACAGCTTAGAATTTGAAAGGAAGAAACATAAAATAGTCCAAATACCTCCATGTAAGTAAAAGGCCAAATAAATTACAGAAAAATTAAGAGATTCTTCACTCCCTAACGGATAAGATGAAATTAACACTTTTTATAAAGTAATACATCTTCTATATAATACATATAGAATAAGCCAAAAACTAGAGCACAATTGAGTATAGAAATTGTAATACAAAAATTCATGCTATGCTTATTATGACAAAGATTGCATACAGATTTGAAAAGCTAAGATTTCACTATGTTTTCTAGTTCATCTTTTTTTTTTAATAAAAACATACTAAATTTAGCTTACGGCTATTCTTGGAGAAGATACATCTATAAAAACATGTATCAATAAAACCAAGCCACAGTTTCTGTGATGTGGCTTCTTTCTGGCTAGAATAATCTTATGGAGAGGGAAATAAGGCATGAGCCCCAATCTTACTACCTTACACTTTACACCCTCCCCTACAGAAACAAGGAAGTAGTTTTGATTCCTCCCAACTCAAGCAGCCCACCCTCATTACACACTTTACCTACTATCACCTGTCAATGAACACGTTAAGCTGCATTATACCGTTTGAGCATGCTTACCTTACACACTGTAGTTGGTTTTTTTCTTTTCTTAAATGTTACTTCAGTGCTTGTACAAAGCCTAACTTGTCTTTTAAAGTTTTTAGTTTGACTTTCAAACAACTGGAAAAGGGGCATAACTCTCAAACTCCTGAGAGAGATCACTGTAACCTATCTCTGTATGAAAATCAAGTTTGATATTTTGACAACGTAAGAGGGAAGTTAGGGCTGAGTTTTATTTGGACACAACTGGGTAATTGTGTCAAAATACCAAGTTGAGTGTTCCCTGTCACAAATCCAGTAACAGTAACCCATCCCCACTGACGGGGAGAGTGCATACTCATAAATCAGTAGTCTTGGCTCTGACAGATAGATGGTCTGTCCAAAGACACAAGAAGTCCTACAATAATGAAGTCCCCTGTGCAGAATAATACACCTAGAATTGTTCCTGAATATCCTTGAGAATGAGACTCATCATCTTTTCCCAGGAGGAGTTAGAAAGTATAGATAAATCTAAATGAGGAATTGTTTGTGCCATTTAAGGAATAGAAGAGCTAGTAAACACCATGTGTGTTTGTGGAAGAGGAAGAGGAAGCAGAGAATGACAGCAGCATCTCCATGAAGCCCAGGGAGAACAGAACTGTGACCGGTAAACATGCGAATGCACACTATGACCCTCTGAGTGGGTATAAAAGTGCACTGGATGTCAAGTGGGGTGTGCATACCCACTCCACTTAGCTTGACAAAACACACTTACCTTTACTATGTGCCATGCACAATGACACTTTCTATTTAATTTTTAATTTCAACCAAGACTCAATTTAGATTTCAAAATCAATTAGTGGAAAGAGCACTATGTGAGCAAAACAAAAACAAAGTGAGAAATACCTTCCATACAGCATGCAAACAGTTTTCAAAAACCTATGTTTCTAGGTGAACACACACTGATCCAATCATAGATCTTCAGTGTAGCCACATATTGTCAGTGTTAGCAATCCCTTGAAAAGACACAAATGGATCACTGCCCACCAGCAATCAAACATGACATTTTCTTTATACATTAACACTAGAAGAATTCATCACAACACAGATATTTATATACCAGAATTTATGTCAACAAGTTAATACATATTTGCTTATTTCAATCTCAGAAATAATGAGATTTCTCAATGTGCAAAAGAAACATTAAAATAGCCTGAAATGCTGTAAAAGCTACCTCACCTAACTAGGCCAGAGCTGCTGAGCTACATTCCTTGACTCTAAGCCTAGCTTTTGGAAGGTGCCAGAGAAATTACACTGGTACAAAATGTTCTGAGGGCTTGATAGTAGTTCTGAATGTCTTTTTAGAAGACAACTCAAGGCTACTTTATGCTAACGGAGTGTCTCTGTAACAGTGCAGATTTAGCATTTTTAAGACCCTGAATCAATCCTTAACTCCAAAAGAAAACAAAAATTAAACAAAAAACCATAAAACTTTATTTGCTGCATAAAGCAAATGTTTTAAAGCAGTGGTTCACACAGAGTGATGGCAGCACACGCCTTTAATCCCAGCACTTGAAAGGCAGAGGCAGGCGGATCTCTGTGAGTTTGAGGCCAGCCTGGTCTACAAAATGCATTCCAGGACAGCCAGGACTACTATTACCTGGGGAAACCCTGTCTCAAAGACAAACAAACAAAAGGACAGGTTCTCAACCTTTCTAATTCTGTGACTCTATAAAATACAGTTCCTTGTGTGGCGACCCCAACCATAAAATTATTTTCATTGTTACTTCATAAATTTAAGTTTGCTACTGTTATGAACTGTAATATAAATACATGATATTTAGGATTTCTGATATTTGACCCCTGCAAAAGGGGCATTCATCCGCCGTGCCAGGTTGAAAACCACTGCTTTAAAGAAACAAGAACAAGCATGATGTCCTCAGCATATAAGAAACCATAAGCGCTGAAGGATACTAAAGCCAGGGGCAGAGGATTCTCTTTGCCCCATCCTCTGCATCTTTTCCTTTTCCAACTCCCAGTGGCTATAATGTCAAGCACATGATTTGTAAATGGAGAAATAAATGAACCATTACGCTCTTAGGACACACATTTTATGCTGGAAAAGAATGCACTAGGTCTCAGCAAGTTAGTAAAGACCCAATAATACATTGAAAATCCTGCCCTAGAACACAGACAAAACAGTTATAACCCATTATATTATTATCAGATACCTGACAATCTCTCTGTCCTGAGTCAGGCTCACTGAATACTCTTTCTTATTTGACTTGCTTCCTACATAAGGTTTATTTAACAATAAAAGGGGGGAGGGATTATGTACATCTGAGATTGTCATATTTCTCAAATACTGGCATTTGTGATTATTTTAAAAATATTTTCTGAATTTGATCTTTTGAACTATTAGGGAAAAAATCCTAAATTAATTCTAATTTTATACAATAGATCAAATGAATTTCCAAGGTAACCAGAACCCCAGGAGACATATTTTATTAACAAAACTTTAAAAAAATCTTCTGAACATTACATACAATCAAAATTATGTTGGTCTTTAAAATACCCATTTCAGAACTCCATGGAGGGCTGGGATGTCATTAAACTGGCAGCTGGCTTACTATGCACAAAGCTCTAGGTTTAATCCTTAGTACTCATAAACCAGATAATGGTACAGCAGATGTATAATGCTAGCACCTGGGACATGGGGGTGGGAGGAACAGAAACTTAATGTCACCTCAGCTACATACTAAAATTGAGACCCATCTAAGCTATATGACATTGTCTCAAATACCTCCATACAACACTCGTACCTGAGTATACATATGGTATTCTGCAGACACTAAAATTATTTAGAGCATCATAGTTTCATATTCCACCAAGAAAGAAAATAATACTGTTAGAAACCTGGGTAAAGACCTAAAATCTGAGCACTCAAGATGTGGAGGCAAGAGGATTCCAAGTTTGAAGACTGCCAGTTAAACTACGACAAAATATCTTATTACTACAAATTAGGTATTTCAGACTTAGCTGCTTTTCATCAAGTTTGCTGTTACTGTGCTTTCTCTAGACTAGCATGTTTCATTTCAATGATAACAATTTAATATTGCACAGGCTTGTCTCTAATTGTTGGTTCAAGAATCCTCCGCTGCAGCCTCCCAACTAGAACTAGAGGTTTATATCATCATGCTGGGTTTTCTGAAGTGACTTCAGCCAATAAGGAACTTCACATATCTACTATACCAATAGTGCATAAAGTAACCAACAGCTAGAGTGCTGATCCCTGCAGCTATGGCCAAGCAGACTGCCACACAAGAGTGATGAATGCCCCACCACTACCACCTGGCTGACAACAGCAGGAATGCACTGTTAACTGAGGGAATACATTAGAATTTCAGAGACATCAGAATGTAAATATCAAACAATGACGGAGTGGTATCCATAATTCTTTAAATGACAGATTCTAAAGCTATGAAAATAAACTTTTTAAAATCAACACAATGTATGTGTCACTTCATTTGTAATATGTAATTAAATAAAATGACTCAGAAGAAATGATTATATCATTCACCTACAGAACTGTTAGATAAAAGGGACCAAACTGTTTTTATTAGCATATAAAAACACAGGATTTCTTACCTGTATAATGATAAGGAGGCAGATCCCAGCACCCATTTCTGCAGGGTCCCCGTACATCCCCGTCATGACATACACAATGGCTTGCCCAATGGTAATGATCATACCAAATACTGATAAAAAAGGAGCACATGCTTACAACCAAAGACAAAAACCAACAAAACCAAAGAACTACAGGAAACATCTTTCCCCAAACCATCCTCAAATTTGGAAAATAACTCTATTATTGCTTACGTTTCTGGGCTCCATTGAACAGAGCTCTATCTTTGGGTGTATCTCCAACTTCAATGATTTTGGCTCCAGCTAACAACTGCATGATCAAACCAGATGTTACAATTGGGGAAATACCCAATTCCATCAATGTTCCTGTAAAGGAAGAAAATGAGTAAACAATTTGTATGAATGAATATGTAAAGAAAAGGTCTGGATGAATATCTGAAATTTATCAATATCCCAGAAACATGCATCATAAATGTTGGTGCATTTTATAAATACTGATTCACTGAAAAAATAATAAACCTTCCAAGAAACAGTGAATGCGTAGACTGTGGGAGCCCACGGATGTGGACTTGTTCCACCTTCACCAAAAGGACAGTTCAGACCTATTCTTGCTCCTTCAAGGTTATGACAGGAGGTTTATCCCAGGGTGTGGTTATTAACAGGATGGTTTGACCTAGGGTGTGGTTACTTGATGCTTTGGGTATTGAGAAGGTGATTACTTTGTTTGTTCCTTGTATAGTGGTAAAGAAGTCTTTTATCTTCCCCCTCCTCTTTGGACTGGGGTATATAAAACCTATAAAAAATAAACACGGGGCAGATTCAGTATTTGCTAGGTTGTCCTCCCATCTCTATCCTGTGTCTCTGTCTTTTCTTTATTATCTTTAATTTTTCTACCTGCCATTTCTTTATCTTACACTTCCCTCCAAGCATGGACGAATAGGCTAGGTGGAACCTGACTGATGTCGTCACATGGCCATGGGATATAGCAACAGACCAGTGCTATGCTCAGCCTTGATAAAAGCAGCCCCTCTCTACAGTGAACAGTGTTTATACAGAGATGTATGACTGGCCAATGTGCTGAAAACAAGTGACTACTAAGTGTTCAGCCTTCATAGGAAGGATCATATTACTACCACCATCCCCATGTTCAGAGAACAACTCAGAAAAGAGGTGGAAAGAATTGAAGAATTGGATAATGGGAAGAAGGCTCTGAAATGCTGTAGGATGTACATGTTATGGCCGTGGCACTCATTAGCCCACAGCAGATACAGTTGGCACAAGACGGAGCGACTGAACATTTGTTCTCCGTGATGTAGCCAGCTCCACACCCATGCCCTGGTTAAACCCACTAGGTCACAAAGTAACACTAAAAACAAGAGGCCTGCAGAGATGGTTCATCAGTTAAGAATACTGGCTGCTCTTCCAGGGGACGCCAGTTTAATTTCCAGCAACCAAATGGTAGCTCACAACTATCTATAACTCCAATTCCAGAGGATCTTGTGCTGGCCTCTGTTGTGGGATAATGCTTTTGCACACTGTAAAGATTTGTCACACGTATTAGTTTAATAAAACACTGATTGGTCAGTAGCCAGGCAGAAAATATGAACAGGACAACTCGACTAAGAATTCTGGGAAGAGGAAAGCAGAGAGTCAGCCACCCAGTCAGATGCAGAGAATGCCTTACTGAGAAAAGGTACCAAGTCACATGGCTAAACATAGACAAAACTTATGGGTTAATTTAAGTTGTAAGAGCTACTTAATAATAAGTCTAAGCTAAGAGGCCAGACAGTTTATAATTAATATAAACCTCTGTGTGTTTCTCTGGGACTGAACAGCTGCAGGACCAGGCAGGACAGACACTTCTTGTCTATAGGCCTCCATGGATACTAGCTATGCATGTGGTACACAGACATATATCTAAGCAAAACACCCAAAATATAAAAATAAACTAAAGAAAGAAAAAAGAGAGCGAGAGATGAAAATGGGATGGATGGGATAGAACTTGATGAGAGGATAGGGCTAGTAGTGATGGGGGTGGGGTATTAGTAAGTGTGGCGAGAATATATGAAACGGTTAATGAATTTGGAGGATAGAAAAGGAGAGGGTGGTGCTGGTGAGATGGCTCAATGATTGAAGACTTTGTGGCAAGCCTGGCAACATGAGTTCAATCCCTGCAATCCATGCAAAGGTAAAAGGAGAGATCAGCTCCAAAAAGTTTTCTTCTGACTTCCACATGCTCACTGTGACACGTGTAAGCATACAAACACACACACACAATTTTAATAAGTAAATGAACCAATATTACTCCTATAATCTAAAAAACTACCAAAAAAACCTGCCATTTATTCAAAAATATTTCCCCCAAACATGCATCACCATTTCTCAAATTCAAGAGGCTTCTGGTCCAGGGCATCATCTCCTGACACTGAAAATCTTGGGATTTTTTTTTTTTTTTTTTTTTTTTTTTGGTTTTTCGAGACAGGGTTTCTCTGTAGCTTTGGAGCCTGTCCTGGAACTAGCTCTTGTAGACCAGGCTGCCTCAAACTCACAGAGATCCGCCTGCCTCTGCCTCCCGAGTGCTGGGATTAAAGGCATGTGCCACCACCACCCAACCAAATCCTGAGATTCTAATATCTTGAGGAAATAGCTCAGTGGGTAAAGAGTTTGTGGCACAAGTTTGAAGTAGAGTTCAGATCTCCAGCATCCACAAAACACCATTTGTAATCCAAATTCGCAGGATACAGACATGGGTTACCTGAGGTAAGTTCTGGAGCACTAGAACTGGCAAGCTCTGGGTTCAAATTGGAGACCCAGTCTCAGTACATAAAGTGAGCTGGACATGATGGCACATACCTGTAATCCCAGCAATTGGAAGGCAGAGGCAGGAGACTATCTGAGCGTCCCAGACACCCTATACAGTAGAGAGTGATCGAGGAAGACACTAGTCAACCTTTGATCTTCACTGTGTACACATACATATGTGTACAGACCACATACATTCACACACATGCACGCACAAAACACATACAATAAACCCACTGTTGTCACTATTACAATAGTGGTTTCTCCTCCTAAGCCATGGGTTTCTGTTCTAGCTATCCCATACAAAACCACAACTGATGGCAGGATGGAAGTCAGAAGTGCATACCTCTGTTGGATGCAAGAATAACTCTCATCCAGTAGAAGGGATCTGCAGAATCCGATGACATGATCCCAAACAGTGGAATCTGAAACATCATATAAAACAACAAGGACACTCTTAATTTAAAATGCACTTGTTTGGCCTACAATGCATGTTAGTTACTTCTTGTGATTTCTAATAAACAAGCTTACCTTAAAGTTCTCTAACAAACACCAGATATCATTACTTAGTAAATATATATGCCTGTAAATACAGGAGAATATGCCTAACACTGCAATATATCTAAAAATAGCAAAGAAGATCAATTTTGTTATTTTTCATCACAATTTAAAAAAATACCCCTAACAGATTAGTGTATGTATTTGTCAAGGCATGGAACAACTTCGCAAAACTGAGAGTATCCACCAACTAGAATAAACACAATCCTGATTGAAGACCCAAGGAAATGTATATAACTGGAATAGTATGCAGCCACTGAAAACAATACCTATGAAATTGTAATATTATAACATAAATACTTTCTCAAGGTAAGAAGAAAATGTCATGATTTTCCCTTCAGGAGAGCATTTGGAAATAACTACAAACATATTCGACTGTCACAACTTGGTGGAGGAGAGCAATATTGATTCCTGATGAACAGACATCCATACCCAGGAACAGCCTGTAGCATGATAAATAAAAACCCAAAGACTGATATTGGAGTTCAACCTAAAGGTCAGAAAAGCAAAACAGACAGCCACTGGTTTTAACCTCTACCTCAATCTGAAATGGTGATCCTGCCTCCAAGAATCCTCAGAATGAGACTGAGTCTGAGAGCTGTCTCCTCCTGTCTTATAGTCCTCTCTAGTGCTGGGATTAAAGGCATGCATCATTGCCGCCCAGTTTCTATGGCAACTGATGTAGCTACTGGGATTAAAGGTGTGTGTCACCACTGCCTGGTCTGTAAGGCTGATCAGTGCGGCTGTTTTACTCTCAGATCTTCAGGCAAGCTTTGTTTATTAAAACACAAGTGAAATATCACTAAAACGGCCCCCAGCACACAAGATGCCTAAAATTCAGTAGTACCAGTATTAAGATATCCTGGAATAAAAACTAAAATTCAAAATTGCATACAGTGTAAATGCAAAAATAAGAATACATACAGAAAATAACACTGAAAAACCTTTCCAGTGTTAAAATACTGATAATATCTAAGAGATAAGATTATAATTGATTTTTGTTCCTTATCTATCATAAGACATCATTTTCCACCCAGTTATTTTGACAAGGTCACACTAGCAATTCCAACACTTAAAAGACTGAGGCAGAGGGACTGCTTCAAACAACAGCAGGGGGTAGGAGGAAGAGGAGGAGGAGGGAGTGGAGAAGGAAGAGGAAGAGGAGGAGGAAGAGGAAGAGAAAGTAAAGGAGGAGGAGGAGGAAGAAGAGGAAGAAAAGGAGGAGGAGGAAGAAGAGGAAGAGGAGGAGGAGAAAGTAGAGGAGGAGGAGAAAGAGGAAGAGGAGAAAGAGGAAGAGGAGGAAGAAGAAAAGAAGGAGGAGAAGGAGGAGGGGAGAGAGGAGGAAGAGGAGGAAGAGGAAGAGGAGGAGAAGGAGAAGGAGGAGAAGGAAGAGAAGAAGGAGAAGAAAGGGACGACAGAGGAAGGAGCTAACTTTCAATTTTTGCCCATGACAGGCCCTTGTTTAGTTCCCTTACCATACTGGGGAGGAACCCAGGGCCTGATACATGCTAAGTAAGCCCTTCCCCACTGGGCAATGCCTCCATGCCAATACACACATATATGACAAAGCAGTTAGTGCAAGCTTCTTCTCAAACATGATAGATTCCTTTCTCAAAAATGCAGGTTCAGGCCGGGCGGTGGTGGCGCATGTCTTTAATCCCAGCACTCGGGAGGCAGAGGCAGGCGGATCTTTGTGAGTTTGAGGCCAGCCTGGTCTACAAGAGCTAGTTCCAGGACAGGAACCAAAAGCTACGGAGAAACCCTGTCGCGAAAATCCAAAAAAAAAAAAAAAAATGCAGGTTCAGGCACAAAGAAAATTACATTGCTAATTTCAAAACTCTATAGCAACTGAGGAGATAGCTCAGTTAAGAGTGCTGTCCACACAGCATGAGGACCTGAATTAAGGTTCCCAGTGCCAAAGGAAAAGAACCGTGTGCCAGTGCATGTCTATAACCACAAGACATGAAGGGACAGAGGCAAGAGGAAAGACACACACACACAGGAAAAAAAAACTGTAAAACAATTTTAAAAGTTCCAAAATATCCTCAAGAAATTTTAAATAACTGAATCTCTGGAATATTTAAACTATTATTAAGTTAGGTGACAGAAACGGTAACTCAGAAGGCACGACTAGTTTGTGCGTATCCTGTATCTGTGAGAAGTGAACAAGGAAGTCACTGTGCAGTAACTCACTAGCACTACAGGGACAGCTCCTATCTACGGCCTTGAATAGAACCCTCTACATTTCTCTGGTGCTGTCAGATTAAGTCCTTAAATGTCCAAATAAATCACTAAGTTTATTTTCTGTAAAGTCTTTCTTTTAGCAAACCCAGCAAAATATTAATATAATACAGCACTGCGGAAAACCCAAATACTCCCTGTTCTAATGGAAACCTGAACTAACTGTATGGAGATATGGAAAATGAGCACTACAAATCATCTAGAGCAGTGGAAAGTCAAAGCTAAAGAAGGAACGTCCGGGATGAGACTGCAAGTTGCAGGCGTGGAATGTGGCTTGCTATTTGCCTAGCATGCTCAAGGGTTAGGGTTCACCTCAGTGCTGAAAGTGAACAAGATGGCAAGTTGCAATCATATTACAGATTTCCCCCTCTGGCACATAATAAAATATAAACATAGGAAAGAATAAAGGCTAATCCAAATTTTAAAAGCTGCAGGAAAAGGAAAAATCTCCAAAGCAACTATGACGTTAGCTTGACTGTTAACTTGGTAGGATTTAGAATCACCTAAGAAACAAGCTCGAATATATCCACAAAAGTATTTTCAGAGACATTTAACCGAGGAGGGAAGAGCTCTCATAAAAGTGGGAGAACCACCCCATGTGTTGGGTCAACAGGTCAAGCAAGCTGAGCATCAGCATTCATCTCTCTCTACTTCCTGACAGCAGACACGATGTGACCAGCCACCCTATGCTCCTGTCACCACACCCTCCTGACAGCAGACACAATGTGACCAGCCACCCTATGCTCCTGTCACACCTTTCTGCCACTGTGGACTGAACCCTCAAGCTGTGAGCCACACGAAACCATTTCTTAAGGTGCTCCTGCCAGGTAAAGAGAGTGGCTAATACAGCCGCTAAACAAGAAAAAAGTGATAGATTCGAAGCACCAACAGCCATGGTGCAGGGCACAGAAGATCAGTAGACAGCTGCCTACCTATTACCATGTAAAGCTAACAATTCCCAGAATGCCCACCAACATTTCAAATGTGGAGAAAAGGAAACTAGAGATACCTTTGTTCTTCGTTTTCATTAAGAGGAAAGAGAAACAGCAGCTGAGAAGAAAGAGAAGGAAGTTGAGCAAGGAGGGTGAGTGGCTAGGATGAAACTGAAGATTATGGGGCTACGCAAAATTTGAGAACCGAGGAGTGGCCTGAGCCTAGAATGAATTAGAAGCTCTCAAGACAGCCAAAAAAAAAAAAAAAAAAAAAAAATCAAAGCAGAGCCCTAGAAGCATCTAATGTAATGATCTCAGCTTATCTCACCTCCCACCATTCCCTCAAGTTAGAGAAAACTGGCTGGAACTTGTTTTATGTTCAGTTGAAATCACCCACACTGGGCAGATCTGCCCAAACGTGAGAAAGACAAAAAGCAACCACTTAGCAACTATATAAACACAGGGAACTAGGTAACACAAAGGCATAAATGGGCCAAAGCAGGAGACATTCCTAAGAAATAGTACTGGTTTTTTAATAAGAAATGTTGTGTGTGGGGGGGGGGGGTATTTTTGTGATGAGATACTGAATGGGGGGGGGGGGCTTATATAAACTAGGCAAGCACCCTAAGGAATCAGGAAGGTAGGAAGTGTTTTGTTTTGTTATCATTATAACATTAAAGATAGGGTCTCTCTAAGCTATCCGGGATGGTTTTCAACTTGAGACTCTCCTTGTCTTAGTCTTCAGAGTAGCTAAGATAACAGGCCAATGATACTAGACATGGAGCTCTTTCTTCTATTTATGTTTCCTTTTTGGGATCTGGGTAATGATTTAAATCCCAACATTGCACTATCTGAACTTTCACAGGCTAAAGTTTGTTGATCACTATATTAGAAGATTCAATATTTTTAGGATGGTAATTCTCATAAATTGACCTAAAAAGTCAAAGCAGGAAATATATATACATATCTCATAGTCAATGAACTTTCTTACAAAAATACACATAATGATTCTAGATGTTTCTATAAAAATATAAAGGACCTAGAGTTGGTCCTTCTCAATAAAGAACAAAGCGGCAGAACTTTTCCTAACTGATCAGTGTAAGAAAGTGACATCAGATTCCAGATGCTGCTCAGAACACAATATATCCAGTAGCTTTTCCCTGTCATGGCATCCTACTGAGACATTTGGGTCCCTAGCTAAGAGACTTTCAGGTGCCAGCATCTCTCTAGCCTGAGAAGCAAGATTAGATCAAAGTGAGATTATTAGATCATGGCCACACATCTTGCTCCTTACCCTCTTCCCTGCCTCCTGCTTGGGAATGAAAGAGCCTGATTATAGGCTCATGCTGTGATTCTCAGACACACGTAAGAAGAGACCCACACTTCGGCCATGTGGGATGCTTCCTTTCTTCAGAAACACCCCCCTGGCATGCTGTCATTGATGCTGGGACCTCAACTTTCCTCACAGTCCCCACTGTGCTACTGCCTCTCTTCCTATCCATCTACGGCATTAATAACTCGTATTGCCTGTGTTAATAAGGGTGTCTATTGCTGTGAAGAAAAATACCATGCCCAAAATCAACTTGGGGGAAGAAAGAGCTTATTTCATCATCCGGAGAAGTCAGAGCAAGAACTCAAGACAGGAAACGAAGCAGAGGCTTTGGAGGACTGATGATTATTGGCTTGTTCTGTTTTCTTATGCCATCCAGGACCATCTGCCTCAGGGTGCACCACCCACAATGTTCTGGGCACTCCCACATCAACCATTAATCAAGAAAATGCAAAGGGCATAGTGACAGACAGCTTTAATACTAGCACTCAGGAGGCAGAAGCAGGCAGATCTCTGTGAATACTTGTTCAGCCTGGTCTATATAATGAATTCCAGCCACATACATAGTGAGACCTCTTTCAAGAACAATAGTATTGATGTTGGGCAGTGGTGGAGCACACCTTTAATCCCAGCACTCAGGGGGGCAGAGAAAGGTGGGTTCAAGGCCAACCTGGTCTACAGAGCAAATTCCAGGACAGCCAAGATTACACAGAGAAACCCTGTCTTGAAAAAACAGAAACAAAGCAAAAAAGATACTTTACCAAATATGCATCTTACAAAAAAAAAAAATGCTCACTATCATTAACCAAGGGAATTTAAACTAAAATTGCACCTATGAGGACAGCTACTGTTCCTAATAGATGAGCTAGTTGAAAATAAACAAAACCTTAGCATAAGACACATGGGCGTCTCACCTGGAGGTTCACAGGTAAAGAACACTGAACACAGGTACCATGCAGACCAGCAATAGGATCCTAGTCATGCACTACTGGGGAGGAGAAACTCTTGTACAAAAGTGTTCACAATAACCTGTTTCAGCAAAAAGCTGCACATAAGCCAAATGTCAACAAATAAGTGAATGCACTGTGATATATTCACGTACAGAAATAAAAACTGCTGACATGAATAAATATCAAAAATATTATAAAGTCAGAGTCTAGACACCCTGCTACATATATGTGGAATTCTAGAAAAGACCAATTATAGCAAAGAAGGGCAGATCAGGGCTTGCCTAGGACTGGGGGTAAGATGAACAGTGAATGAAGAGTTACAAGGATCTTTTGAGGGTAACAAAAATGTTCTGGACTCACTTATGTAATAGACTCTTGGGTGTACACATCTGCCAATATTCTTTAGAATGTAGAGTTAAAACTGTTACTTTGTACATATAGCTCTCTAAAGTTGATTGTTTTTTAAGTGGGGGGACAACTTCAAAGATGTCAAATGCATATGGGAGAAATATAGTGCCTGCTTTTTTCTTTGAACTTTCTGTGTGTGCGTGTTTTTTAACTACTCTCTCCTGCCCGCCCCCCAGAAAAAAATTAAATCAGGTTCAGCAGTAAAAGTTCTTTAATAACCCAATCTTTCATTCTTCAACACACATGGAGCAACAAGATGGCTTAGCAGGTTAAGGCACCTACAACCAAATATGCCCACCTGAATTCAATTCCTGGAACCCACAGGGTGAAAGGAGAGAACCAACTCCCACAACTGTCCTCTGGTCTACACACACATGCCATGGTGTGAAGCGTGTATGGATTCAGATACACACACACACACAAATAAATATTTAAAAAAAGAAAAAAAAGGTGGGCAGCCATGGCACATGCCTTTACTCCCAGCACTTGGGAAGCAGAAGCAGGCTGATCTTTGAGTTCAAGCCAGTCTGGTTTACAGATCCGAGTTCCAGATTAACCAAGGCTACATAGAGAAACCTGTTGTTGAGGGAAGTAGGGAAGGAGGGCAGATCTCTGTGAGTTTGAGGCCAGCCTGGTCTACAAAGCAAGTTCCAGAATAGCTTTGAAACACTGTAGAAAGAGAAAAACCGGTCTGGAAAAAAGAAAAAAAGAAACAAACTAATAATAATGCTCAGCGTAAAACATGACTTGGTCCCTCAGTCACACAGCACTTGCCTTGCATGTCCAAGGCCCTGGGTGTGATCCCCAGATCACAAAGAAATAAAAGCAGCAGAGCTCAGAGCCAAATAGATGGCTCAAAAACTAGGAGTCCTTGCTGCTTTCCAGAAGACACTATTTCAATTCTCAGAACTGACACTGGATAGCTCACAACTAACTGTAACACCACCTGTAGGAGATCTGACACCCAATTCTGGCTTCCATGGGCAACTGCACACACGTGACATACACACACATACACACACACAAACAAAACACAAATAAAAATAAATCTTACCAAAAAAGCATCACTCAATATATTTTAGTATATTATTTTATCATTTTTCTAATTCTTACTAATCAAGACCTTAAAATAATACAGACATGTGTTCAATAATTTGGTCACATACCTGACAGCACACTAAGAAAATGAAGAGTGTTATAGCTGTCCATAGTACCTTCTCTCTAAACTGAATCTGTACAACAGAAGTACAAAGAATGATCAATCAAAACCAAGAAAAACCAACTCAAAGCAAAATTCCACATTAAGGATGATCACCATTCCCCATTAGGCACGCTCCTATTATTTACGTACCCTAGCTTGTTCCAGCTAAAGTAAACAACCAATCAACTCAAACCTAACTCTCTTCTTTACCAAAAGAAAGTTATTATTTGTAAGTATTCTGTGTTCTTTACATATTCTAGATATTAACCCTCAGTCAGTTGTACAGCCATGGAAGAATAAGAATTTTCTCTCATTCCGTATGTACTCTGCCTGCCTTTTCCTTTGCTGTGCAGAAACTTTTAATTTCATGAAAATTCCATTTGTCTGCTGTTGGCATTATCTTCTGAGTGACTGAGTCCCATCCAGAAAGTCTCTGCATACACCTGTATCTTAAGATGCTTTCTCTACTCTTTCTCACTGTTCAGGGCTTCTGAACCACCTAGCGATGACGAAATTTGAAGATTTGACTATAGTTTGTAATAGTTAAGTCTGTATCTCCAACTAGCTCCCATGTGTTGCCACAAAAAAGATAATTTAAATATAAACATGCTTCATGATCGCCAGCTGGTGGTAGCATACGGCTTTAATCCCAGCACTCAGAAGGCACACACAGGTGGATCTCTATAAGTTCAAGGCCAACCTGGTCTAGAGAGTGAGTCCCAGGACAGCCAGAACTAAGACTTCACAGAGAAACCCTGTCTCAAAAAGCAAACCAAACAAACAAACAAAAATGATGCGTCATGTACACTGTACAGGGAAAATAACTGGAGAGGCGGCAAAGTAGAGCAAATCTAATACACGTTTCATGCAGAAAGGGAATTGCATGAAACACTGAACAATTTTACACAGTTCTAGGATATTCATAAACTATCAAAAGTTTTATTTTGTATGCCTAAAGTAAAACTGAGTAGCCATCTCTACCACTTCAAATCATTAAAAATTAAAGGTGCTTCTAAATAAAACAGTAAGTCCAACAAAAGTTTTATCAATCTTTAGGTCCCTATTTTGTTATTAAAAGGGTAGTATGATAACTGAAAAACTTGAAATTAATGTTTTTTTCTGGAACTTTAAATATCTCAGTTCCAAATACATTCAATGACTGAATAATGTAATTTAGTTATGGTACCTCCTAAACACATTCCTGCTATTTCTTTCCAAACAAGAAATCAAAATATGGGATTATACAATTACAATTTATTATGCAAACTCACCAAACCTACCCAGCAGACCTTATCATTAACTAGCAATATATACATCCTACAGTGAAGAAATTATAAAGTTCCAACATGGCCAGGAGAATACCATATCTTAACTAACACACAGGCCAAGAAGCACTTGGGCTGGAAACATTATAACTTAGAGTAACATTTTTGATAGAATGAGAATCCTAGTCTTAAAAAGGGTCTGTAACAGTGCCAGCCAGACAGTTGTAGTGATTTGAATGAGAACAGCCCTGTAGGCTCATATATTTGAAAGCTTAATCCCTAGTTGGCAGAACTGTTTTGGAAAGGATTAGGGGCCTTGTTGGAGGTGTGTCACTGGAGGTGGGGTTTAATGTTTTAAAACCCCATACTAGGTCCAATCCTCCCTCCAGCCTCTTTCCTGAGATCCACCTGGTGAGAGAAAAACTATAGTACACTAGGGAACAGGTACATATGCATATATAAGAAAAAATACATATAACTTAAAAAACTAGAAGCAGGTCTATAGTTGTTTGCAAGATGAGGAAACATTTTTGTACTTACAACAGAAACGGGTCGGGTAAGCAAACGAACCTTGGTGGTTTGGCAGAATAATTCACTCTGCTACTTGCTGTATTATATTAAAGTATTATACTTACTTTCCTTTCAGGCTTCTGAATTTCTGGTAGAACTGCACAGAAAGGTTTGATAACTTCTAAAAACTTGACTGTAAAAGAAAATTATCAAGTTTAAAAATGTATCTGTGAACGGTTTGGAAAAAAATTCTTTAACAGCTGTTTATCCCATCCACCCAAATTAAATAATCATGATGTTCTCAAGTTCAAAGGAGCTGGCCTGCAATAGATAAAACCACCCAAATGGCTAGGAGGTAAATAATGAAGGAAAGTGAATAATGAGCCATGACTTTGCTTCTTCGTACTTAAACCCAATCTTGTATTTACACAGAAGGGAAACCTTCAGATCACCACTATGAAAACTACGCAAACGCGGTTTATACAGTACTTAGATAATCCACTAATAGATGGTAGAAAAAAGGGAGCCTTTCCCAGGGACGGTGTAGTAGGAACTGAGCTTAACAAGCTTAACTCATGCACTGACCTAAACAGCTTAGAGATGGCAACATTCACTAGACAGGAAAAAATCAGGATCATGTCCTACAGGCAACTTTTTAAAGTCTACCAACTCTCCTTCATTTCCGTTAGCCACATTTCACAGCTTGGTAACCATATCAAAGTAACCATATCTCCAGTAACCATATCAAAGTACTTACAAGAATCAGCTCAGAGAACAGCAATTACATTTCATTAGAAAGTACTGCATTCCCAAGCTATTTCTGAAGCAAAATAAAGTAAGATAAACCAAGGTTTAGGGATAGACATTAATCTCCTAAGTCCCACTGGACTCAAAGGTGGAAGTAACTGATGTCGCTTAGAATTTATAATTGTCATGTTTGCTATTTAAGTTTGGACTACTTATAAAGTAAATCCATATTAAAAAAAAAAAAAAAACTAAGGGTCACATCAAGAAACTCTATTCCTTTTCCTTCCCAAGCGACTCTCTGGGATTTCTTGGCATTTTATGATTTACTGTAACTGGCGTTCAGGTTTAAACAATGCTGTTGCGTGCGGCCATGTACTGCCTATCCTGAGAATTCCATTTGTCATTCGTAATTCACAGCCAAGGGTCTCTTCTGTTTCCTTTCCAAATGTCTACCAGCTGGCCAACTGGGTGCATCGCTTGGACCTGCAGTTAGGTATGCCTTTATACACAAACATGTGAACTGCTAGGTTAAGTATCTGTGTGAATACACATGAGGACGAATGTTTGGGGCAGGGCCCTCTTAGAACCCCCATTACACGAGGTCTCGTCCTTATCGCGCGCACCAACTTACAGTTTTCAATGAACACTACAGAATGACTGGGATGAATATTTCAAGGAAAATGCTGAGCTACCGATCACACGCCTTTCCTCCCCTAAAACACACGCTATGAATCACATTTTTTTTAAAAATTGGGGGAGACTTATTCATCTCAGCACGCCAAGGAAGCGTGATTCAGGAATTAAAAAAAAAAAAATTCCTAAAATCCAGAAAAATCCCAAGTGGTCCAAGCTAAAGAGAGTGTCCTAACTCCCCGCCCCCCAGCCAATGGCTTCCCCGCGCCAACCACGCGCCATCAAGGCCGCCTAAGGGGCGCAAACCAGGACCTCCGGGTCTCCGTGACACGCCGGGCAAGGCCTCGCTGACCAGAGACGCCTTGGCGGAGGCCACCAGCTAGAGTCATCCGCGGCGACCACGACGAGGCCTGCGCATCCTCGGCCCCCCTGACGACCCTAACGGGAAAGCGGCTCCATTGCTCATAGCTCGGAGGAACCCGCGACCCTTGTGGTTCCCGCTCTGGCCATCATACTCACTGCCCATGGCGGCGGCTCAGGACACCAGGCGAGGACCCGCGGCCTCGCAGCTGCTTTCGCTCCCTTCCTCACGACTCTGGCCTAGGAGACGGAGGCTTGGGACACGCTCCGGCCGTCCCCACACAAGCTCCGCCCACGAGTCATGTGACACACGCTCTCAGCTCCTCCCAGACCCGCCCCCGGACCTGGCCCCAGCCGTTGGACGACGGCCACCGCGTTGCCATAGTCACCGTTGGCGCGGCGGCAGGGGCGGGGCTGAACGCCAGGAGGCGGGGCTTATCTGCCATAGTGGGCGTGTCTTGATTGCCCTACCCAGTTCCATGGCCTCCCAGAGGCCTTGGGGGACCCAGAGTTTCCCTTTTCAGAGTTGGTTTCCCAGATTGGGTTTCCTAGTCCAGGCATCCTGCTGGTCCCCTGAGGCCGGGGGGTTGAGCTGCCAGAACCAATCTTTTCTTTCAGTCCCATCTTAACTGTAACTTCTAAGAGATTTGTAAAAATTGGGGACACACTTATGCATTCAATAGCCTACAAAAAGTACTCTCCAGTTTACTATCATGTGCCTACCCCCCCCCCCCGCCGCCGCAAGTACAGACATCAAGGTTTTATGACTCCTGTGATTGAGGGGTTCGTGGAAGTCAGTTCTTTGACCCCTCTGGTGGTTCCTGCCTCTCTAATTTTTGCTTTCTTGGACAGCATGTGGTAAAAAAAATACACAAACACACAGAGTGTTAGAAATCAGCGAGCCCTACATTTAATCCTCATGAATGCCTTTGGGCCATCAACCTAGATGGCTACTTTGACAAAATATGGATAACAGCAGCCACCTCATGTGGGTATGGTATAGAAGTTAAATTGAGACACTAGACACAAGAAGGCCGTCAAATTAATTTTTCTTGCTCAAACTTTAAGCCACTCCCCGAAATCAAGTATCTGTTCTAAAGTCTGCTGCAGCAAGTTGAGTCGCAGGTACATCCTATGCTCAGTCATCATCAAATCCAAAGATGCGCTCACCTGTTCAGATCTATAGCCAATAAGAAAACAAGATAGCATCTGCAGTGGGGGCGGGGACTGTTAGAGTTGTCTTGCAGGGGCCTGCAAGGGTTTTCCCACTTCTTATGGCCAGCTAGGAAAACTCAGGAGCTCTCTCACTCGGATCTGGCCATCAGTGCTTACTGTGAGCATCGACACATCCATTTGGTTTCCCAGTGTGTACTGGGCCTCCTCACAACATTGTAGCTTAGCGCCAAGAAATGCCACTGGCAAAGAGTCTCATTTTTTGCAGTGTGTAGAGGCAGCCAGGAAGGTCTGCTCAAGTTCTGAGAGAAGAGAGAAAAGGCAGCATCTCTAGGGGCAGGCATGACAAAGCTGGAAGATCTTGAGTAATCTCCCATCCTTTGAACTCACCCTTATTTCATCCTGCTTTGTCAGCCATTATTTTTCTTCCTCCCACCCCTACCTCTGTTCCTCCTCCCCCTTTTCTTGAGACAAGAATCTCTTGTACCCCAGGAATAGATTGATTCCACAGATTAACTTGAGTAAAGCCTCCGCTATTGGGTCTTTCTGGACTTTCTACACGCTACCCAGAACTTCTTGACTGATATGCTTGCTACCTACTCTATGTCTAGCAGGAATATCGTTCTACGTTTAGTCTTCAAATTGTTTTAGCAAGAAATCTCTCGGGTTGGAGAGATAGCTCCGCAGTAAAGAGCACTGACTGCTCCTGGACTTGGGCTCAGTCTGTGTTGGCTAGCTTCACGTCAACTTGACACTGGCTAGAGTCATTTGAGAAGAAAGCTCAAGTGAGAAAATGATCTGTAAGATTAGCCTGAGGGTAAGCCTGTCCAGCATTTTCTACACTGGTGAGTGAGTGATGTGGGAGGCCACAGCTCACAGAGGGTAGTGCCACAACTGGTACTGGGTACTATAAGATAGCGGGCTGAGAAAACCATGAGAACACAGCCATTGAGAAGCATTCCTCCTCAAAGAGACCAGAAAGACTTCATCCGGCCACTGATGGGAGCAGCTGCAGAGTCAGACAGGCAAACAGTAGGGAGTCCTGCAGGAGAGAAGGAAGGATTGGAGGAACTAGAGCAGTCAGAGACACCAAGAGGACACAGAATCAATTGAGCGGGACTCAAGGGGTCTCATAGAGATCAGAGAGCCTGCAAGGGGTCTGAGATAGGTTCTATGCATGTTATATCTGAGTAACTTGGTGTTCTTGTGGGACTCCTAACAGTATGAGCGGGGGTGGTCACTGACTCTTTTGCTGAATTATGAGACCCTTTTCCTCCTGCCGGGTTGTCTCATCCAGCCTAGATGTGATAGTATGTGCCTGGTCTTATAGCAGCATATTATGTCACGTCTGGTGGCTGACCCTAAAAGGCCTGCTCTTTTCTGAGGTGAGACTGGAGGGAGGAAGGATCAGGGGGAGAGAGGAGGTGGGGAACAAAGAGCAAGGGGAAACTGTGGTCAAGATGGGATATATGAGAGACCAAAAAAAAAAAAAAAAAAAAATCCTCCTCCAGGACTTCTGCTTCAGTTTCTGCCTCCAGGTTCTGCCAGGTTCAGTTCAGTTTTTGACTTCCTCCAATGATGGACTGTGATGTGGAACTGTGGGCTGAAATAAACCCCTTTCCCCTCAAGTTGATTTTTGGTCATGGTGTTTTATCAGCTGTAAAAAGTGCCCAGGACCCACATGGTAGCTTACAGCCATCAGTAACTCCAGTCCCAGGGTATCCAGTGCTTTCTTCTAACCCCTGTAGTGACCTGCTATGCACATGATACACACACATACATGCAATACATACACATAGGAAAAACAAACATACATACACATACATACATGCAATACATACACACAGGAAAGACAAACATATGCATAAAATAAAAAACAAATTTAAAAAAAAAGCCCCTCTTGCCAGGCATGGTGGCACATTCTTTAATCCCAGCACACAGGAGGCGGAGGCAGATCAGACCAGCCTGAGCGACAGACACATCCAGTTCCATGGCACCAAGGGTTATACAGGGAAGCACTGCTTTAAAAGGGAAAAAAATTTTTTTTAATTCACACACTGCTAGTTTGTTAAGGACCAAAGCCTTCTAAAGCAAAATAAAAACAATGCTATATGTACACGAACCCAGAAAAATATTTCTTGATGAAATATCTTTTTACTCTTAAATTGTTGTTTCTTATGTTTTGATGTTCATTCAATATATCTGACTTCATATGAATAAGAGAAGATAGTGAACAATACTAAAAAATCAGTAAAAGTTTTCTAAATTAACAGGTCTTGTAATTTAAAGAAATTGGTAGGTTTTATGCTTCATTTTATCAGAAGTAAACAAAAACATGATAGAGCCAGTTAGGGGTTATTTGTACAGGGTGTGGTGTGTATTCTGTTGGTTTTGTCCAAATTTCCCTCAAAACAAGCTTATTTTATGTAAAATGGACTCTCTGGGAAGAAATTGAGATAAAAATTAAACATGCCAGTACATCCAAGAGATATTTACAGAAAGCTTTTGGAACTTCAAGACTAAAAAGCACTGATTCATAATCTGTGACTTCCTTCCTGGTCAACTCTCTTTTCCTTCCATTCTGTAAAAGCAATACTGTTTGTATCGCCATTTTAAGAACCTTAAAAGTGGAGCTGAAGAATTCAAACTTAGTTCCCAGCCTGCACATCTGGCTGCTGCTGACAGCTATGTGCAACTCTAGTTCTAGGGGATCTGGAACTGTGGCCTCTGCAGGCACCTGCACTCCATACTCTCTGTCTCTCTCTGTCTCTCTCTCTCTCTCTCATATACACACATAAATAAAACTACTCTTTTTTAAAGTACTAAAACTTCCAAGATAATATAGGCAAACTAGAAAAGTTAATTTCCGAACATATTTCAAAATAGGAAGAGCAAGTATATGGAAAATAAAGCAAAAACGATTCTTACAAGGTAGAAAATTTTATTTTACTAAGAATAATGTATCATTTCAAGCAAAATTGAAATTCTCCCATGATTGTTGATATTTTAATTTACTAACTACATAATTTAAGCTCTATTCCTCAGTGAACATTAAACAAGCATAATTATGGATAGCACATATGAGAAACTCATGTCACATTTTTAAGAAGAATAAAATACAGTAGTATATGCTTGACTTGAAATTCTTCAAATGGTCCCTTCTGAAAACCAATTCGAAATATGGCTGTTGTTGAAATGGAAGACACTTTTATGGTTCATGCAGGTAAAACCATAACAAGAAACAGTAAACTTGTGAGGTACATTGTTATGAAGAAATTCAGAAAGAGCAAGACAATTCTTTTTCCTTTTCTTCCTTTTTTTGGGGTTCAGGACTGAGTTTCTCTGTGTAGCCCTGGATGTCCTGGAACTTGATCTATAGAACAGGTTGACCTTGAACTCAGAGATCTGCCTGCCTCTGCCTCCTGAATGCTGGGATTAAAGGTATTCACCACTATCCTGCTATGACAAAAATATTTTTTTTGTTTCTTCGAGACAGGGTTTCTCTGTGGTTTTGGAGCCTGTCCTGGAACTAGCTCTTGTAGACCAGTCTGGTCTCGAACTCACAGAGATCCACCTGCCTCTGCCTCCCGAGTGCTGGGATTAAAGGCGTGCACCACCACCGCCCGGCGAAAAAAATATTTTTAAACATATTAACTTCCATTTTATTTTATAACTAGAGTTTTAAAATCCTTTAAGAAACCAAGAGATCTGAGAATAAAGATACATTATGCTTTTTTCTACCTAAATATACATTATTATTCTCATCCAACAGGCCTTTGAAACTTTACTGATTTATTTAAGTAGTACTAAGCTACAAGATTTATGAGGCTTGATTCAAGAAAAAAGGACTGAGAAATACAGAGAGAAAAGGGAGGTAAAGGCTCGGTGGTGGAGCTAGTAAACACAAGGTTCTAGAACTGATACCCAGATCTAGAGAAAAGAAAAAAAGAAAGGAAGGAAGAATGAATGAACAAAAGAAAGAGAGGGAAGGAAGGAAGGAAGGAAGGAAGACAGGAAGGAAGGGGGTAGGAAGTCACAGGAAAAAAGAGAAGCAAATATTATAGGAATGTTAAATAAGTACACTAAAGAATAATTTTAAAATGTAAATTGTAGTCTGGC